AAAAGTATTTTGATTAATTTGACCACTCTAAATAAATGATTATAATTGTACTCTGATGGAGTATTCCAAACATTTCCACTGTTCATATGAATAGTATTTGAATCAAATACTAATATGTAATATACCTGACTCCTACACTTACACCTTATGAAATGTGGACATTATGCATTGTGCGTTGTACCTGTTATTTTTCCAGCTTTGATTGCTTTCTCCTGTAAGAGGGAACATTTCATTAAGTTAGCTACATTTACTCTGAAGTATGAATATAGTGTTCTTTATGTGACTACTTTTTATTTATACTCACATAATACTCTTCAGTCTCAGATCTGAACTCTTCCTTAAACACTTCCATCAAGGTTCGGCCTACCCAGCGCCCTTTGCAGTATGTGGTGAAAGTGAAGTAGTAGGGATGAACATGCCGCAAACCTTAAGAGAAGATAAAAGAAAACTTTAACAAAAAATAACCTCATACATCTAAGTCAGTACCTACTTTATAATAACAATTTTGATGATCAACAATAGTAATCATGAAGTTACGAATATACGAAAACCATATATGTGAACTGCAGAGTGAAGAATTAAATGAAGGATGATCATTGGTGTTATATATGCAACTTTTGCAGTTGCAAAAAGAAAGCCTGAAAAAAATTCTGGCTTGTACGGGATACGGCTGATATGGCATTCTTTTCGCAACTGCAAAAGTTGCATATAATTATCACCGCGATGATCATCCTTCATTTAATTCTTCACTCCGCAGTTCACATATATGATTTACATATATTCATGACTTTATCATCATCCTTTCACGGGTTTGTAACGAACCAATTCAATGACAGCTTCCAGTTGGCTTGTTAGCTTAATTGGTAGAGCACTGCACCGGTATTGCAGAGGTCAAGGGTTCAAATCCCGTACAAGCCTGAATTTTGCTCAGGCTTTCTTTTCACAACCGCAAAAGTTGCGTATATAACCGCAATGATCATCCTTCAATTAACAGTGTTCATGATAGAGATGTTATGGTGACTTTTGATGCCAATGAATACATAAGAAAGATGATTTTTCAATAAATGACACAGGCACCAGCCTTGGAAGAAAAAATCCGAGTTCTCCAAACAGGAGTACTTGTTGAACCTATGACCTTTTGTTACCAGTCCAGAGGCTCTACCACTAGGCTACAGGAGACTCACGGGAGATAAGGCCACTGAACTAGGTTCATGTGAGATATATACTGCATACTGCTGGGACTAGAATATCAATAAACAATGATAAAGATGTGATGGTGAATTTTTAGCCCAGTGAATAGATGAAAAAGATGACTAGTAACCAGGTCATAGATGTGACTCCTATCGAGATTATACTCATTATTTTTAATTCCAAATGATTGTCAAATCACTTTCTCATCATTCAGCCGATTAGCGTACTCAAAATTATTTACCATCACATCTATATCATTGCTCATAAGCACATATCGACATTCTAGTCCTAGCAGTACAACACGTACGTAGGATGTTTGTCGCATGGGGCTGTGTATAAAAGTGGGACAGGGACATCGGGACGCGTGTGTGGGGACTTGGGACTTAAGGACGCGAGACGAGGGACTTGAGGACATCAAGTATGGGACGCGGGGACGTGTGGGACGGGGACGTCAAAAACAGGGACGCAGGGGACAAGGAATGTGAAGAATTATTGCAAAAGTCCAAGAGGTAAATGCGTCACTTTCCTCGTGAATATGTTTTGGTGAAGGCAAACCACCCTGCCCTCCTTATGGTTCCTCCATGCCTGTTTATGAAGCAAAGACTCGGCGAAGACCCTCTGCATTGAAAGTGAAACCCTTGTCCTGGTCTTCTTGCTTCATGCTATTCTTGATGGAATATTGGAACCTAAAGCAGGGTAGGGTGGGTTGCAGTCACCAAAAATTATGTAGAAAAACAGCATTCAATTCCAAATAACTAAAAAATTCAGTGGCATAAGGGAGCTTCGAATCCCGGAGTGCTCTAATAACTCCGAAATCCATCGCCTGTACCACTAAACCAAAAGGGATTCAACCAATTACAATTACGCGACAGTGGAAATCAACCCTAACCCTAATCACGATGGTCAGTGCGCTTACTCCTAATAATAAAGAAATATTTTGTGTAATTATCATAAGGTGTCCAATGTGGTTTTGGAAGATGGAATCTAATGTTGACCATAACATAAAAAACACATTTTCACGAAGAAAGAGATATCGCATTTACCTCCTACTTTTGCAATAATTCTTCACATCCTGCGTCCCCTGCGTCCCTGTTTTTGATGTCCCCGCATCCTCGTCCCACACGTCCCCGCGTCCCATACTTGATGTCCTCAAGTCCCTCATCTCGCGTCCCCAAGACCCAAGTCCTCACACACGCGTCCCGATGTCCCAGTCCCCTTGTCCCCGTCCCACTTTTATACATAGCCGTCGCATGGACCTAGTTTAGTGGCCTCTTAAGGCCGGAGCGCCCGGAGCATGCCCCTGGAGCATGCTCCGGGAGCAAAATCCCTCGTGTGTATAGGCCTTTAGCTCCCAAATTTCTTCATATTTCGTTCATGTCCTTTATAAAGCATGAAATTAGGTATTTTCATGTCATAGTCGTGCAGTGATGGCAGAGATTGTACAAAAAAGCGAGAGGCACGTGCAAAATTAGTGTTTTCCTTATTAAACCTATTGCTTTTTTGACATTCTCATTGCCATTGCCAAAAATTAATATTACATTTAATTACGGCTCAAGCACCATCATGGCATTAATGAATTATGTCAACATTCACCATTTTTGACATAACATGTTGTTTCTTCAAGAAGGTTTTGGTCAAATCCAGGTTTCCTGTTACTTTCCAACTTTGGCTGTTTCTGTTAATAGAAAGTTTACAGAAAATTATTTTCTAGTAAATGATTATGTAATGAATTACAGCAACTTAAAGCTAAATAGTTTTATGTCCACAAGCACAATGTAAATGCATAAACACAGTCTAACAGTCTGTAGGATTTAGATTTTCTTCTACTCACAACACATCTCTCAGGTGTGATCACTATAACGTATGTGTAAACACAGATCACCAGTACACTCCAATGTTATGCTGGTCTTATTTGACATCTTTTTTTTTCCCTTAACAAACAGTACTAATCTATCTGCAGTGTTAATGATATTGAGAAAACAGCCTTATTTGAATTAAGTAACTTTTTCAACAAGCCCAGTTTCATATATTAAAATTCCAACTTGACTCCAAGGCTTTCTGGTCATTTTTCTATATTTGTTTTGGTTTTCTTTGTGCTCAAGTCTCCTCTGGGAATTGCGAGAAATTTGCAATTTTGTCCCTAAAGCCTTGAAGTCATGTTACACACCAGAAACAGAAACAATCCCTTTTCTCTCATACAAATCCTTATATTTTGAATGTTATGCAACAATGCCAATGGTCATATTTTGAGCTTGGGCCACCATTAGTATTTCATGGTGCATTTAGTTCAGTTATTCGCCCAAGGACCATGAATTAGAATAGCATTTCACTATTGTTCAGCTTCCATAAATATTCAGAGTAGTTAAGAATAGGATAATGTTCTGGCAAGAAAATAAGATAATCAAAATCTTCAACCCACATTGCCGCTGACTTCGAATCTTTCGTTTTATCGACTCTTGAAAAATATCACCAAATTTCAAGTAGTGGTCCTTGGTCCATGACCTATGACCTTAGCGTGAATTACACTTCATAAAATAAAAGGCTTTGTTTTTAAAGAATGTTTTTAAAATCATCCCTATACATGTTTACGAAGTTCTCTTTTCTTTACATCTTGAAAATATACAGAGTTTTTAGTAATTTTTTTCAACCACACCGAAAACCGCTCGTTGACGCTCGTGAGGGAGACTGTTGTCTGAAGTCTTTGAAAGAAAAGCATATTATTTTACACTCACAACAACTTCCGAAAAAACGATAGCTTTAATGCATCAAGAATAGAAAAAATACATTGAAATGTTGTGAAAATTACATTTTCCTATGGAAACTATCACATTCTCACATTTTTTTTCATGCTGCTCAACCGAGTTGCGGACCAAGGACCATCGAGCACAGTCATCTTTTCTTTAATTACAAGCAAAACACTTAAGTCTGGAACTTGGAACTTCATGATAATCAAGAGAAACATGAAAGCTATCTTCAGAGGGTATTTTTTCAGCTCATTACAATTTGATTCTGGTAAGATATTCATGATAATAATTTTTAGTCGTGGACCAAGGACCACATATAAGTTTTGAAGAATAATGTATTTATTAAGAAATAAGACTCAAATTGCAAGCAAAAAGTACCGTGTTAGTGTGTAGGGAAAAAATAAATAAATAGGTGGTTTTCATGCAATCTCGGGAGACACAAATAACAATGGTGAAATAAACAAATGCTGGTGGACAAACAAAGCCAGCTAATGAGCGATCTTTTGTTTACCGTCCACCAGCATGGCGGCGATGACGTCACGTGAAAACCACCTATAAAATATAATTGAACATCACAGGAATATCATACGACTGAGTTTAGCAAATTGGGTTCCGTCCTTACATTCTAAAAATATATTGTATTATCTAAATATCTTAGAACAAATAAATAAATATTAGAGTAAAATAAGAATAACTAAATAATATGTCGCCTAACATGCTTTCTCTAAGTTCATAAAAATTAAGCTCAAATAGCAAAACAACTGCCGAGTATTTAAGAACTGAAGTTGTGAAAAACCACAACAAATCTATAGTGTTTGAGGGAAAAGGTTTCCATAAGACGCAATTTAATACCTGTTTTTGTTTTCTTGCTTCCAATTTTGCCTTCCGCTTCACTGCACGTTTGCTTTCTCGACTGTCCGCCATATTGAAAACCTGAATCGAGGGAGGTTTGGATCCAGAGATACGAGCCGAAAACTACTTTGTATACGCAACGTGAATAATTGTTCTCTCTTTACAATCACTGTCGCGTTGCCTGGTCGTGTAGATTTCTAGATTTCACGTAAAATGCTACCAGGGGTGAAAGAAGGCGATCGTGTTCTTTTAATTTGGTCAGGAATTGCTCCGCCTGAAAAGTTAGAAGAGAGAGTGCATCAATTAAACTCTGTGGTTGGCCCTATGGGAAAAGTTGCCGTCGAACACGAAGAAAGACTCAAGTTATGTAAGTTCATGATTGTGAATGTTGTGAAGTTAAGGTGGCTCCGTAATTAACCCAAGAGCATTTAGCTGTGACAAATTTTCCGTCATAACTTTTTCGATTTTAACGCGATGGCTGCGAAACTTCGCACTTAACAACAGATATCATTCGGCAATAATACGAAATATTCCGATTTCATTGATGGTAAATATTTCTTGAGAAATTAGCGCTTAAAAGGACCCTACTGTTCAAAGAAAATCGCGTCTAGTAAAAAATTTTGCTGATATTTTTTACTGAAATTTCTGGTATCGGCTTTAAAGGATATAATAAATATGCCAGAGGAATTTCAGAAAAATCGTTGGAGCAGAAGTCCCTAACTAAAAGTCGGTCAAAATTCAGCTGTGAAATTGTTTTGGAATTTCAAAAATAAATTACTATCAGAAAGAAGGAGACACCAGTTTCAATTTTCGGGACAAGCAACTTCAGTGTGTTTCCTAATTCTGAAAACAGAAGCCGATTGCCTATCGTGCTATTCTTTAAAAAGGTACTTTTCAGTTTTAGAAGCACTATAAATTGCTCGAAACTTTGCTCTGACATCGAATGACTTGTTCCTCGACATTTTTTAAAATATCCCTTGGCAATTTTGGTTCAAACTCCTGCTACATACATTTTGATGTATTGCAAAGCCTCCCCAACGACTTTTTAGGTGCTTTACGTTGTTTCCAATTCAGGAAAAGGTATTGGGATTGTAAGCTACCTAGTATCGAAGCTCAGATAGAACTGTCCAGTACCTTTGTTTATGACCAGAAAATGAGCACGAAGCGGTAGCTCTGCGAGGTCGCACCTCAGCCAGGGGGACGGTGACAATGATGCCCATGTCTGTGAACCGATCTGTATAAACATGTATTGCAGAGCAAAACATAATAATCAAGAAAAAAAATACCCATTCATTGAAGGAAGGGTGACAAAAATTCGGAGTTGTAAATTTATTAACGGGCAGTATTTTTTGCGATAATTTTATTTTGCACTGTGATGTTATTTGGATCACAAGCATGGTCATCATTGTCGTCGTCCCCCCTGTGTGAGGTGCGAATTCCACGCAGAACTGCCGCCGTGCTCATTTTGTAGTCATAAACAAAGGTGCTGGACAGTTCTTTCTGAGCTCTGATACGAGGTAGCGTCCAATCTCAACACTTTTTTCCTGAGTTGGAAGCAACGAACGGCAGTAAAAGTCGTTGAAAATGCATGGCAATACATCAAAATGTATGCAGTAGGAGTTTGAGCCAAAACTGCCAAGGGATATTTTAAAACTGTCGACGAACAAGTCATTCTACTTCAGAGCAAGGTTTGGAGCAATTTATAGTTCTTCTAAAACTAAAAAGTACCTTTCAAAGAATAGCACGATAGGCGATCGGCTTTTGTTTTAAGAATTAGCAAGCGTTGAATTTACTTGTCCCGAAAATTCAAACTGGTGGCTCCTTCTACCTGATAGTAATTTATTTTTGAAATTCCAAAACAATTTCACAGCTGAATTTTGACCGACTTTTAGTTAGGGACTTCTGCTCCAACGATTTTTCTGAAATTCCTCTGGCATATTTATTATATCCTTTAAAGCCGATACCAGAAATTTCAGTAAAAAATATCAGCAAAATTTTTTACTAGACGCGATTTTCTTTGAACAGTAGGGTCCTTTTAAGCACTAATTTCTCAAGAAATATTTACCATCAGTGAAATCGGAATATTTTGTGTTATTGCCGATTGATATCTGTTGTTCTTTGCCAAGTTTCGCAGCCATCGCGTTAAAAACCAAAAAGTTATGACGGAAAATTTGTCACAGTTAAATGCTCTTGTATTAATTACGGAGCCACCTTAAATTACGTACTCCACTGTCAGTGTTCCCGATCCTTGAAATTCGAAGATGTCTTGGGCAAATGACTTTTTCGAGAATTCAATTTTACTGTCTGAAAATCTTAGGGTGTTTTTACGTGTAAGTTCAAATTTGAAAAAGAAAGAATTTATACGGTAGAAATATTCAACAGTGGGATTCCAAGTGAAGTGACGTACTTTACTTTTACTTTTATCGCTCAATGTTGCCTGTTTGATAGTACTTAAAAGAAATAATATTGAGCAGGAAGTCGCAGAAGCCTTTCTGGGCTTATCAAGGAGACTTCCCGTTAACTTACAACAACAGAATGATCGAAGGATTTTTCGGGGTTTTAACTTTTCCATTCCGGGAGTTTTTGTGGTACGATCATTTGGCAAGTATTATTTTTTGTGTCTGGCTTTCACAAAAATATTTTTGGGGTATTCAAAACTATCTGAAAATTCGTTGAAGTGCCCGCACCATGCGTTCCATAATATTCCATAAAGCCAGTTTTCTCACTTTAGGTGTGATTGGTTCGATTTATCCCCCGGGTAACTTTTCATAACCAGTCAGTACTTACCATATTTGAAAGATATAGGCTACAAAGGCTACTTGTGTGCATATATACTATTGATTAGATGGTATATTTCCCAATATTGTTCATTGAAAATATTTTACCGTTTCTGACTGGCTCCAATCCCTCTGCTGATTCATTATACCGGTAACTAACCACATTTAGGTGTATAGAATGGTAAATTCAAGAGTTTGCAGTTTCAAAATCCGAGATTGATATACTTAAGCAATTTTATCAAGAACAATAGAAAGACATGACAGGCTCTGGCTAGGAAAAAAATTCTCATCAGGAAGCCTTTAATTAATCTTGTACAATAGTTGTCACTGACCTTTTACCACCTGTCAGGAAATGTAACATGGTACAGAGCAGTGTCTGATTTCATTTTGGTAAAAATACTGTGAGTAGAGATAAATGGATGAGTTCATCGCAGTCCTACTGATAATTCAGTCATTCGCAAAGCCTAAAACTGTGATGTTTCATGTATGATATGAATGCGGAACCTAAAACTTTCTGCAAATCTGAGTCATTATCCCTCCTTTTATGCACTTAATGACAAAAATAGAAATTGAATGCTAAAACATGTTTCGTTCTGGAAATTCTAAATGATCTAATAAAACCTTCGCACATTATGGATTTGGTGAGTTTATCTGTAAGGGTAAGCCTAGTAAAATCTTCACTGGTAAGTCCCAATTCATTGCTAGCATTTTAATTATATTTGTTAGGTATACGCAGTACATGTTCTCCTTATCAGGTGGTAATCAGTAAAATTTACCACCTGAATTGACACTTCTTACTGCCTGCAACGGCCTGAAGGTTTACTAAAATCAAAGACTTACTTTTAAAAATACACACAAGTTGTCACCTGATCCAATTCTCACGTGCAACAAGGAAATGAATGAATATATGGAAAAGTTCTTAAGTGTACACAGCTTTTCTTTTTATTGGCCATGCATTTTGGAACGAGAACATTGAGGACACGGTAAAATTATTGGAATCAATCGTTTTAAGGTAACCATATATGGCTGATTTATATAAAATAGGTCTTAATATGAGGGAGTGATGTTTCAGAGAACATACAATCAGGTACAGAAGTAGTTGACACACTTGTTTAAAAAGGGTACTTTTATCAAAGATTTAATTCAGTTATTATGTCATTCCTTTTAAATGCCATAAATCCCCTCACCCTCCCCCCCCCCTGAATCAATGTTGTCTGAAGTAAAAGAAAGACTTGATTTTGGGAGGAAAGGGGTTGGGGTAGACAGGGGAAGGGGATAGGTATGTCCACTACGCAAAAAGGGGCCATTTTACAGAAGTGTCTCAACACTTTTGTCCCTCATTGTAGCTGCTAAATGACTACCAGTCTCTCATCCTGACCATTGGTTGCAGAGTGGTAGGAAGCACCAGTTATGTGCTTAATACAAGCTACGGTACATCCTTACAGCTAATAGTTCGAATGGAAGATCCCAGTTGACAGTTTATAGTGTGGTGTAATTGTAGTTATCTATAGTCATCAGTTGTGCAGAAAAGTTCCTAAACCTAGCAGTCTATTTCCGATGTAACTTTTACACACAAAGTTCCAGACTCCCAATTCAAGTGAATTCATTTTCTAGAATCAGAACAAAAAATTAATGTGGAATGAAATGCCTGTATCTGTAAGAAAACTTTCAAAAAATGCCTTTGAAAAGAAAATAAAACAAACACTTTTTGACATCCTAGCTTCAGAAGACTGTTATATTGATCTCCCAGAAATCGTTCAAAAAGTTAAGTTGAATTTATTTTCCTCTTAGTTGATATGTAATCATTAAAAAAATTATTATGGTTTAGTGTATCAGTAGTCTCTTGTCATAACTGTTGTCATCTATTATTAGTAATACCATTAGTTTATCAGTTTTGTGGTCAATACCCCAAACACTCTGACCCTGCTATGCTTGCTAATGATTTTGGGAGATTCTTTACACAAAAGATCGATGACATTCGCTCAAAGCTGGATAGAATTGACCCCTCATCAAATCAGCCTGACTACCCGACCAGGAGTAGCGTCCAAGAGCACTCATATGCTGGCACACCCTTCACTAACTTCGAGCCTATAACGTCTGAAGGTATCAAAAAACTGGTGCTGAATGCCCCAAACAAGACTTGCAACAATGACCCTATACCTACCAAGATTGTTAAAGACTGTATTAATGAACTCTTACCGACCATTTCCAGCATGGTTAATCTCTTGCTCAGTAGTGGTCATATTCCTGACAATTGGAAAGAGGGTTTAGTGAGACCAAAGTTAAAGAAAGTCAACTTGGATTTGATAAAGATAAACTACCGGCCCGTCATTCCTTTCAAAGATCACTGAAAAGGCAGCTGCACTACAAATCTCTGATCACGTGTCATTCAATCAGATGTTTCCAGAATTTCAATCAGCCTACGGCAAATATCACAGCACGGAGACTGCCTTACTGCGCATGCGCAACGACATACTCGTCAGCATGAACAAACAACAAGTCACATTACTAGTGTTCCTAGATCTAAGCGCTGCCTTTGATACAGTACACCATGATATGTTACTGCGGCGCCTGGAATACAAATTTGGAATTAAAGATCAAGCAGTAACGTGGTTTAAATCCTATCTGTGGAATAGATCCCAGCGCATTGTAATCGGAGTGCAAAGTCAGACAGTTTTGATCTGAAGTTTGGCGTGCCACAGGGCTCTTGTCTCGGCCCAATGTTGTTCTCCCTTTACACTAGTGAGCTTTTTGATGTCATTAGCCAGCACTCGCCAACGGCGCACAGTTATGCTGATGATACCGGTATCTATTTGGCATTCAATCCAAACGACAATTCCGATCAAGACGCAATTGCATTGCAGCAATGGAAGCGTGCCTCTGTGACATCCGTAGCTGGATGATCAATGACAAACTCATGATCAATGATTCCAAGACTGAGTTTATGCTCATTGGGACGAAGGCGCAGCTACAGAAAACTAAAAGCGCCACTCTAACCATTGGCGAATCCATCATCTCTCCTAGCACAGAACCCCTTAGAAAGTTAGGGGCCTGGTTTGACTGCCATTTCAACCTGAATTTTAACATAACCAAAACTTGTAGGAGTCTTTTTTTTCATCTACACAATATTAGACGCGTCAGAAAATATCTAAGCATAGAATCTGCCGAGAAATTAGTGCACGCTTTCATCACAAGCAGATTGGACTATTGTAACTCACTTTTATACAGACTACCCCACTGCGCCCTCACTAAACTGCAGCGTGTTCAAAACGCAGCTGCAAGAGTTCTATTGTCTAGCACCACAGTTTTGCGATATCACACCAATATTATACGAATTACATTATTACTGCCTGTGACGTTTAGAATAGAATTTAAGGTTATTATAATCACTCACAGAGCAATCTATGGAACAGCTCCTAATTATTTATCATCTCTTGTTAATTTTAAACCTAATTCTTCCTACAGCCTCGAGTCAAATAACAAATATCTGCTTTCAAATCCTAACTTTAGGACTCTCCCTACTCTTGGTGACCGAGCCTTTGTAGCCGCTGCACCAAAACTATGGAATAATCTTCCGTTAGATCTTAGATGCACCTCCGATTTTCAAGTTTTTAAACGTAATTTGAAGTAAATAAATGTTATTATTTGTTATTATCAATTTTAGTTTCTTTAGTTCTCTTGTTACTTTTAGCTATATTTAGTTGTACTTATTTCCTGTAAACATGACCCACCTAGATTAGCTTAGCTACCAGCGGGCATGTAATTGTACTTTTACCTCAAAACACAATAAATAAAATGTATGTAAAAATGTATGATGTGAAATCCAAATAATGTCATTTAGGTCATGGAGATAAAAATACACAACTTTATTTAAGTCCCATTAGAGTTGAAGGTAGCTAGATTCTGTAAACAATAGGAGTCCTGAAAACTAAATTATTTACATAAATATTATCAATATATTATGGTATGTGTAGTAAGGGTTTGTTTATTTTATAATTTTGTCTCACTGAAATAGTCACTTAGTTACTGATTGTGACGTTTCAACCATCGTCCATGTACTGAAAGTCTTCATCAGGTGATAGTGTCAATTTAATGAGTTAAAATACTTGTACTACCATGGTTTTTAGTGAGTGGTGTATCACAATCCTCACTCATGGATATTGATCTGGGGCTTTAATTCAATCGACGATAAATGGAGCTGCTTCGCAGATAACATTAGCCTGCGAAAACATCCGTTTCTCCTCGCTCTTCGCCGCTAAGGACGTTTCACGAGGAGGAACGTCTGCGACTCAGCGACAGAAATTCCATGCTGATGACGTAAAATCTGTCCAGAATCCGGTCAGAAGGGCTGATTGGTCGACGGAGTAGTTACATTGTTTTAGCTATTGTTTACGAATGACAGACAAAAGACAAAAGGCCACAGAGGTCAAATGTAAACACGAAGAATCTCTAGCAAAACAGTCAATATTTGTAGAATATACTCTTCTCTAGAAGAAGTATTTGAGTTTTGCTGGAGCTCGTTGGCAGATGAACACAAAAAGTTACCAAAATCGACCAGAAGACAAGTAAAATTGTACAAATTTGTATTTGGAACCCCATGACTACCTGATATATTATGTAAACATTGATTTGCGTCATCAGTATGCAATTTTTGCCACTGAGTCGCAGACGTTCCTCCTCGCGAAATGTCCCAAGCGACGAAGAGCGAGGAGAAACGGATGTTTTCACAGGCTAAGATAACATCCACCGTACAGTGGATTCTTGCATCCCCTCAAAGTGGACTAGCTCAAGATATAATCTACCGTGGTTCAATCATTCCTTGAAACATCTAGCCACGCATAAGCAAAGACTTTATAATAAAGCAAAAACGTCTGGAAAACATAATGATTGGAAGGCATTCCGTGTAGCTAGAAAACTAATGCATAAAAGGCTTAAAGAAGCAAGGAATGCATATATTTCTGATTATTTAGTAGCCTGCATAGCAAGGGTTTCCTCGCGAGTTCGTCAAGAAAGTTGGGACGAGAGCAAAAAAAAAAGGAATGACGGGGGAGGGGGAGGGGAATGATTTTGCTCCCGCTCTAACTTTCACGCAGTAACTCGATTGGAAACGCTTGCTACGCAGGCTAATTATTTAGGAGTTAGCTATTGAAGAAAACCCTAAGCGATTCTGGTCATATATCAAACAACTGAATAAAGAAGAGCTGGGGATTGCAGATTTTGAAATGAATGGCTCCATAATCAGCGATAATAAATCAAAGGCTGACCTGTTAAACGATCAATTCTTAAGTGCCTTTACTCAAGAAGACTTATCAAACATCCCTGATATTGGAAACGACAGAATACCAGCCATTGACTGTCTGTCTATCACCATGTAATGGAGTTGCAAAGCAGTTATCGCTATTGAAGACAAATAAAGCTTCTGGACCTGATGCCATTCCACTGTGGTTTCTAAACGAACATTCAGCTGAGATTGCTCCTATCCTAACTAATATCTTCCAAGATTCTATTGAAAGTGGTACCGTACCCAGTAGATGGAAATCGGCAATGTATGTGGTGTCTTTAAAAAAAGGGAAAAAGTCTGATCCTTCAAACTACAGACCCGTTTCTCTAACCTGCATAGCATTGAAAATTCTTGAACACATTGTACATAGCCATGTGATGAAGCATTTTGAACTTTATAACATACTAACAGATTGTCAGCATGGCTTCAGATCAAAAAGATCTACAGAACTTCAATTAATACTTACTATTCATGACATTGCAAGTTCTCTACAACAAAACAAATCTATTCATGCTGCTGTGTTGGATTTTTCTAAAGCTTTGATGAAGTCCCACATCGACGCTTACTAATGAAGCTGAAGCGTTACGGTATCCATGGAAACCTCTTGTCCTGGATGGAATCCTTTCTCACTAAGAGGGTCCAAACTGTCATCTGTGAGGGTACAACATCTACCTCTTCCCCAGTGACCTCTGGTGTACCACAAGGGTCAGTACTAGGCCTGCTGTTGTTCCTAACATACATTAATGACCTGCCAAACGGTCTAACCTCTACAGTTAAGCTGTTTGCCGATGACACTCTCTTGTACGGAGTGGTGGTTGAAGACTCAGATTGTGACAATCTCCAGGACGATCTCAAAATGAGTGGCAGATGCAATTTAATCCTTCTAAATGCAACATCATCTGCATTTCAAATGAGCAAAGACCTCCTCAATGGTCATATTTTTTCTGAGGGTCCAAACTCAAACAAGTAGACTCTGCATCGTACCTAGGAATTACTCATGTTAACAGTAAATTAAAGTGGTCTGAACACATCTCATCTATCTCAAGCAAGGCGAATCGATCCTTGAGGTTGATCAAGAGAAATCTCTGGAACTGCCCCAGGAAAATAAGTGAAACGGCCTATACCAGCATTGTCTGACCCAAACTGGAGTACGCAAGTGCCTCGTGGGACCCACACTACAAAAAAGTTATTTCAACCTTGGAGAGAGTTCAAAGAAAAGCTGCTTGTTTTTGCCTTCAAAACTTCAACAAAAAACAGCAAGTGTGACAGAGATGTTATCTGATCTGAAATGGGACACATTAGAAACAAGGCGAAAGAAAAACAGATTGACTTTAATGTACAAACCTAGTCATAATCTCGTAGACATAAACACAGAAGAACACTTAATACCAAACAGTGAATTAAGAACACGCAACAGCCATGCTTTTAAGTATAGAATGCCAAAAGTTTCTAAGGACGTCTTTAAGTTTAGATAGATAGATAGATAGATAGCTTTATTAAAAATCCATTGCAGCCCAAGGGCTGGATTATCGACTGTACAATACGTTGAATACTAAGACTAACTATTATAAATCAATAACAGTAAATAAATAAAACAAAGGAACAAAGATACTACGTCATGAAATTTAAGAAAATAGCCGCGAATTTACAATAAAACCATTAGAAAATAGCCGCGTTATGCATGATAAAACTATTCATTAGTCTATTTGTTCTACAAAGAGGTACGTTAAAAGCGCGCTTTCTCCTTAAGGCTACAGTACTAAGATTACGTGGCGGCAAAAGGCCATGTAATTTGTGGAGGCTGTTGTCCTTAATCTCATTGAATAGGCGCTCTGTCAGCCATTGGCGCCGTTGATGGAGGGTGGAAATATTGCACTCTTTGAGAGCCTCTTGATAGCCTAAATCTGGGAAAATAAAAGTGCACGGCGCTGAATTTTCTCTAGCTCTTCAGAGAGATACTCAGGCAGACCATTGTGGAAAACTTGGCAGGCATATTCAGACATGGGCGGATACACGTAGTATAGAAACAAAGTAGCTGCTTGAGGATCTCCTTTTGCACGCTTAAGCTGCCTTAATAGATATAGCCTAGAGGCTCCTTTTTGATAACATTCTCTATGTGAGCGTTCCACTTTAGATTGTTTGAAATTGTGAGACCAAGAAGTTTTGCGCTAGTTACAACCTCAATTGGTTTGTTGTTAATAGTAACTGCTTCGAAAGGATCTACAGACCTTGAGAGACTTATCTGCAACTCTTTACACTTGGTCTCATTCAATTGGAACTTATCTATTTCGGCTTGCCTAACTAGGTCGTCTACAGCAAATTGGATTCCACTTGGTTGGCCCTTGTGGACTGTCTCGGCCATCGATGTGTCATCGACGTACTTCCAAAGGTTGATGCCATTGACATAATATTGATGTCATTTATCATTACCAGGAAGAGCCAGGGCCCCAATTTGGTTCCCTGCGGGACACCTGCCCTGACAGATCCCCAATCCGAGTAGCAATCGTGGGCGAGTTTCACTCGTTGCTTCCTGTCAGTAAGAAAATCTGCAATCCAGTCCAGCACCCAAGGTGGTAGCTCATAGTCAGTAAGTTTAGCCATAAGAATGGCGTGGTCGATGAGATCGAATGCTTTCCTAAAGTCAAAGAGCACCACGCGCACTGTAGAACCGTTGCCGTCAGTATTCTTATACCAGTTGTGGAGCATGCTGATTAGGGCATGCACTGTGCTGGAGTTCGGAACAGTTCCGTATTCCTTTTTTCCTAGATCAATAACAGAGTGGAACTCACTGCCCACTGACTTAATTAGTAGTTCTTGGCATGTTCATATATAGGTGGCTGAGGTTTTACTTTGTGAAAGCTGTATACCCCTGTCATGCTCCTCAATCTGTTCATGTTTGCATCTTCCGGTTTCTCCAATGTATACCTTCTTGCACTCAAAAGGTATCTTATACACTACTCTATCTTGTTTTTGTGAATGAACAGCATCCTTAGGTCACATTAAGTGTGATCTTAGTGTTGTGTCAGATTTGAAAACAGATTGTAAGCCATGCTGCAGCCCTTTAATGAATGGCAGAGAAATGTTTTAAATTTGATTTCAGTTGAGGTTCTTTACTTTATCTGATGCCTGGTTCTTCTAAGATTTTGTGATGTACTTAGCATATAGCTTGAAATAAATGGGGGCTCCCATTAGAGACAAGGACAAAGGATAAATGGATTGTTTCCTTTGAGATAACCCATGGATTAATAATAATATTTTTGATTGATCTTATAAACACTGGTCAACACCACATTTAACTGATCGAGGCGAGGGTAGTGTGAGTCATAGATAGGTACGATCAACTTGTATTAGCTTTCCTGTAAACACTAATGTGTGATCAGGCATTGTTCTGAATTTTTTTTTACTATTGTGTCAGTAATATAGGGAATTGTGTTAATGTCTGATTCAGGTCAGTAAGATTGAGAAAAATCATTGTTGTTTGTTCATTTTTTGTTGCGTACAAGAAAATTGGGCAGTGCTGAACAATGAATGACTCTTGTCATAACACAAACAGTCAAAGAAAAATGCCTAAGGTAAACTGGTAGTTAACAGCATAGGATTAAAAACACAAGAAAACCATTGTACGTCAGTTAGAATATAATGTTCCTAATTTCTTTCTTCTTTGTTTTTTCAATCAGCATCTCACCCTCAAGCATCCTTTGATACTGTCTTATCTGGCACAGTTTGGCCCTCTGCTCTCATTCATGGTCTTGATCTTTTGGAAGAAGTTGGGAGAATCTTAAAACCAAATGGCAAGCTATTTCTTTTGGAACCCACAGGTAAAATGTATCCTGTAATGTTATGCCAATATATGTTAATGCCATTAAACCAGTTTTCTTTGTTAAGAAGACAGTAAGAACCTTCAAGTTAAGAAAGGCCCATTGTTTGTTGAGAGGTTGTCATTACAAAGCTGTCTTGTACATGTATATCTGCCTATTGATATTCCAGTCCTTGCGGTTGTGTGAAGAGTGTCTATCATGTGAATTAGCCTAGTTTATTATTCATTTAAAATATTTCCCCGATTCTGATTGGCTAAAAGCGCACACATAATTCACCACGACCAGTTACTGATGATCAAATTTGGAAGAATTTTGCGTTTAATGAACCGATGACGTAAAATGTGCAGCCTTTTGGTAGGTTAATGCTCCGTTAACCGAGAAGACCTGTGGACGAGGAAGAATTGTTTTGGTTATGAAAACAAAAATGGCAGACATTTCACTTGTTTCAAAAGTAAGAACTAGGTGAAATAATAGCTAAAAACATGGCAAGAACAGCAAGAAGACAAATTGAAGGGTGACATCTGTTATTTGGAGAATATTTGCGGAGCTAAACAACCCTATACTTGCACTATCGAAGATGAACTTAACATCGATGGATCGATGAAGGTAAGCACGTTTTAGCCATGTTCTTAAACTAGGAATTATTTTGAATGAATAATAAAACAGTTATAATTGAATTCGGCTTTCGTATCCTATGAAGAATAATTATGGAGATCTCAGAGGGTGTTATCTGCCTCGGTCTGCAGCCTTGACAGATAACACCCTCCTCAATCTCCATAATTCTTCATAAGATACTCAGCCTCATTCATTAATTAATTGTTGATTAATGGCCTTAGCTGGCATGAGTCTCTTGTAGCACAGTGGTAGAGTAGGTGGACTAGTGACCAGAAGGTCATAGGTTTGACTCCTACTGGGAGAACTCAGATTCTTTTTCCCGAGTCAGTGTGCAAAGAAAGTGGTGTCCAATAACCCGGGGCTAGCGGATTTTGCTATCGGGCTAATGAATTCTGTTTTTAACTTGCCCGACAGGCTAGTTAACAGAAGAACATAAGAACTGTGAAATCAATTCTGCTAGTCAAAAAGTTTTTGGGGCTAGTTGAAATGACGTATGGGCTAGTGAATGCTAGCTTCAGGTTGCCCGAATGGCAAGCTGTGAAAATGATTTTCTTTGCACCCTGCGAGTTGCCTGTGCTACTGACTTTCAGAACACATTCTCATATACTTCACCAGGCTTAAAATTCAACATTTACAACAGTGGGAAAATGCAACCTAGTGACCATCCAGTCCTAGCAGTATGCAGAATGTGTCTCACTGTAACAAAAAGTACAATTTTTATTACACTTTGTTACTTTGCTCCTTACTGTTATTCTTTTTTCATGTTTATTCTATACCAGGTTCCACTGGAGGTCTGAGGCCTCTAGAAAAGGTTGTTTCTTCCCTCAAACTTGCTGGATTTATAAGCATTTCTGAGGTGAGTTTGACATTATACATTGTATTGTTAATTAGTATATACACACTCAGTGATCTTGGTATTTCAAGCAATCTGATTGGTTAGCTATCTCAGACTATGACGTTATATTCACCGCGCTAGGCGGTGAATATAAAGCCGAACAAAATCGCTGTCGTGAACTGGGTGTTTTGCCAAAGTTTCAAAGTAAAACCTATTTGAAAATATACGAATATCCAAGTGCTGATGACTTTGAAGGCAAGAAAAGACTTCATGGTGTTTAAACAGCATGATTTACTGTGAAGTGGTTTACTTTAGCTGACTTTTTGTACGCTCGAAGCTATGTTTACCACTACAGAGGAAAACGAGGTCGCTTTTGTGATTTCGGGATTTTCTCGCAAGACCAATTTTGCCCATAAATAGAAGTTAATTTATGGAGAAGGGAGGAAGGCAAATATTTTCGAAAATTGTACGTGCCAGCAAGTTAACAAGGCAAAGAACTTTGGAGATAAACGACGCTCACCTTGATCGCAGCCACTGTTGACAGCATTTGCAAGAAGCGACGAAGAAAACTTTCTCATTCACGGTGAGTTGACAGAAACAAATAAAGCTCTAGATACTTTTCTTCTCAGAATTGGGTAGTAACTTAAATTTTCGGCATTTTCTTTTAAACCGTTGATGCTAAAGCTTACAAAACTCGATGGAAAAGGATTAAAACTATCATTTGCCATGTTTGAAGATACTGTAAAGATCTAACTTTTGCGCATCCACTGTTTACGGCTTCGTGTTCACGCATGAATTTTCACCCGTCAATCAAACTAATCGTTTTTTAATGGTTTCCTTTCTGATTCTGTTGAGATCACCTCGTGTGAATATACTGAAACAATTATTCACCTCAGACTCAGTTAATATTGTTGAATAATCATTATTATTCAACAATATTAACTTCAACTTCGGCGAATAATTGTTAAGTATAGTAATCATAAAATTAAAAATAAACTCTACATGTATGTGATTCCAAAACACTTCTTTTTGTTTTTTTTGCTGGTTTTCTTACTTCAATCAACCAACCTCCTCATGCTATGAAAGTAAAATGAGGATTGAAGTAACAATAATAATAATAATAATAATAATAATAATAATAATAATAATAATAATAATAACAATAATAATAATGACAATAATAATAAAAATAATGATAACAATAATAATGGTAATAATGATAATAATAACAAGGAACATCTCACATCCTAAGAACCTCAAGTCGAACCTCCATGTGCGACTACCTCTTGTAAGTGACCACCTCCCATAATCGACGGGCTATCCAAAACACCAAAACTTCCCCAGTCAAACCCTTCCAATTGGAACCTCTCATAAACTAACACCTCCTGTAAGCGACAGCAACCACTATTTGGGGCTTACGGTTTGATGATTTTCCATTGCTTTTAACCTCTTGTAAGTGACCAGTTGACGATTTGTCTGATCTCTCATGTTCACTGTGTGTACTGTGCTTCTTAGAATATACAAAGAATCAGCATGGAACTACACATGTTGTAACTTAGAAGTTGCCTGCAATAAATTACTTTCCATAAAGTAGATGTGTCCGTACATCTTCTCAGAAGAGACCCCTGTGGTTCGATTCTTATAAGCGACCATCTCCCATAAGCGACCACTAAGTCACTTATGGAAGGTTCGACTGTAGACTTCTACTTCTACTTCTACCTCATTCTTCCTCTCTCTTTCCGTAGGCCCTAGGAATGTGCTTGGTTATTATGTTGTATTATCATGGTATAAAGTTAAAGACAAAAATAATGATATTAATACCTGAGCCCACTGCAGGGACATGGACGACCCCACCCACAGAGTCTGGGGTGACACCTTTAACAAGTGTTAGTAATGCCAAAGCCACCCCTTTTAGGGTCAACATTCAGGCAGGTGGGGCTCAGGGGCCCTTGGTTGAGAGCCCTCATAAGAGAAGGGGGCTCTAAATGAGTAATAAATGAGAACCCCTCCGGTCCTTGGATTAAATAACAACTCTCAGATTTATGAGATGACAAGTGAAATTACAAATGAAGTTAATGCTTACTCTACCAAGGCAGGACTCTCGCGTGGCAGGAATGATGTGATTGATGTGAAGGAGCAGGCATAATCTGGTCGTTATCCTTTTACTGCTCCAATATTTGGAAGGAATGGAAGTCAACACAGATTGAGATGGAGTATGCAGGAAAATAGGGTAGCATTAGATACCAGAGAGAAGAGGATACAGACGGAGGATGATGGAGTTGTGGATTGAAAGATGTACAACTGAATAAAGGATGGCAGACTAGGTACAGCGGCGATACTGGAGAATCATTGGTTCACTGATGAAGAACTTGAGGAAATGAGAATATGTGAAAATTTTAGCCCTAGTACTGAGAGGTACCAACCACAGACAATAATTTAGTGTATTCAGGAGTGGTTGTCATTACAGAGAGCTCAGAGGTTAAGCCTGCAAGACAGAGAAATGTCAAGGAACCTTGGTGGAAAAGAAGATTAGAGGGTCAGATTAAGGATCTTAGAAGAGATTTGAACAGACTTCAACAGTTTAAAAGGGGAATGTTCAGTGAAGAAGAAGGGAGTAATGGAGAGTTTCCAGCACAAACACTACTTGCACAAGAAGGGTTTAGAGGTGGTAGTAGAAGAACTGAAACAGAGAATAACAGCAAAGGCCAACAAGGTGAAAAGTTACTATGGGAGAGTCACACAGTAAAGCAGAACCGACTGTCTGTCAACAACAGACATCAGCCGGATGGAGATGTACAGGAGGAACAGGAGGCCATCTGCCCACCCGCCTGATGTCTGTCCGTCCGCACCATAGGTTAACCAATGTGAAATTACCTTCTTTACTTTGTGTGGAGCCTGACAACTGTGTTTAACCACAGGCGGCCCAGATGTAGTGTGTGTCAATAGTTTTTTAGAAGACCGTGTATTTTATATTTTTACAATACCTAATCCCTCCCATAGCAAGTGCTTTTTCTTTTTTTTTACAATGTTAGCTAATTTTAAATACAGCAAAGAGAAGAAGGTGTACTTCGTAGACTTCCTGTCATCCGTCCAGAAAGTGTGAATGCTTCCATAGGATAAGATCAATTCTGAAGTTGAAGTTGAATGGAGACAATGTTGTGGCAGCTATTAATGAAAGAGCTGTATCAGTTTCCTGAGATATAGTGCAGGTATCTTGGAGTGAAAGAAAGTGGAGGTGGAAGCTATTGACAGAAAGACAAGAAAATTCTTCACAATCTATGGTGTTCTAAGCCCTCGAGCACATACAAGTAGAATATACTTGCTGAGGAAGGAAGGTGGACATGGGTTGATAAGTGCAGTGGATTGTGTCACCATGGAACATTTGGGTTTGAATCTATTCAATATGTTTAGCAGAGTCAAGAAATGCTGCTAAAAGCTACCTCCCACGCCTTGATGCCTAACGCTGAAAGTAACCCTTGGCGGTATAAGCACACGTGGCCCAAGTGTAACATGAGAGTTTGTATGGGAAAGTAAAGAGGTTGTATGGGAAATGAAACTTAGATGAAATAAATGAACTAAAAGTGATAAAAGTCATCTATAAAGTGCAGGGGTGAAGGGCAAGTGAAGTGGCCAGCAGTTTGGATAGACTAACCGACTGTATCAACAAAGGGCCGTTGGTCCCCTTCTCTAGGGGGGGGGGGGGTCAAAGCACGTTCCGCCCCAGAAAATTTTGAAATTTCAAAGCCCTAAAAATGCGATTTTCAGCGTTCTTGGGACTAAATTTGAGAACAAAACGGCGTGTTTTTCATTCAAGAAAATGTAGCTATTGATTTACCAGTCACACAATCAATTCCCATGAGCAATGAACAAATGATGAAAACTAAATTACGTACTTTTGTACATAAACAAATTCTGTGTAAACCTGTAAGAAACTTTTGAAAAAATGACTGAAATATAGCATTCGCTTGACTAAAGAATAACGTAAAGCCAGTAAGCCTTTCGGAAAACAAATCATAATTACGTTTTCATTCAGATTTTATGATATATTTTTTGTTTAAAACGTTATTCAAACTAGTTGCTTCTTCTTTCTGTAAAAAAGTAGCCGACCTCTATGACCAAAGAAGCCGACGTGTTTCATCGTCCATCGGTGCTTATTGAAACCCCTGAAGTGTAAATATTGTTCCCTTGTCTTGTTTCCCTTGTTTTTAGAAGTTCCAGTACGATTTGAGTACTTTTACATCATCTGACCTGACAGTACTCTTTATTTTCCCATACAAACTCTCATATTACGCTCGGGCCACCTATGTTATAAGCAACAAAGGAATGATGAGAGAATGGGGGACTGGAAGGAAAAACCATTGCAAGGTCAGTTTTTAAGGCATGCAAAAGGTGTGAAAAGTAATATCTCTCGGATGTGGTTGAAAATGGGGGAATTTAAGGAGACAGAAAGATTGTTACAGAAGCCCGGGACCAGGCATTGAGAACCTGAATAAAGTAAAGTGGCCAAGATCAGTGTTGGCTCAGAAAGAATATAACTTTAGGTAGACATGATGGTGTTGCAAAAGCCGTCTATTGGTGCCTCTGCAGAAAGTACGGATTGGAAACTGTTGCTGACAAATGGTATGAGCAAGTCCCTGGAAAAGTGCGAGGGTCTGAGAAAGGTAAAATCCTTTGGGGTTTTAGCATTCAGACCGATCACCACCTTGAACACAATGGATCTGACCTGGTTGTAGTAGGCAAACAACAAGCAGTTTGCCAAATTATCAAAATAGCTGTACCAGGAGATGCTGGGGTGGGACTGAAAGAAAAAGTCAGAGACAAGAGTCCAAAGGCAAGAGAATGGAGAAAACTTAATTTGGAAGGTCAAACTAGAGTTGTGCTCATTGTTGTCGGAGCAATTGGGACAATCTCAAAAGGAGTAGTTGGCCACCTTGAAAGCATAGGGCTATGTTGCTATGTTTTAGGCCGATAGTTTGCCTATTTCAACCTCGTGAAATGTTCCACCATTTTGTATTCACTGCCGTGAAAACAACTCAACCTTGTTCCCAGGTCTTCTCGCCTAACTGTTCAGTTTTCTGGCAATTATGAAGTCATTTTTCACATATCACAAAATTCTTCCAAATTTGGTTGACAGGAGCTGGTTATGATGAATTTTGCGGGGGATTTTAGCCAGTCAGAGATGGAGAAATATTTTGAATGAATGATAATATTGTTTATATTTTAACTGATCATGTGATCAACTAATACAAATGGCTTATTAATTTTGTACTCTTAGCCAATACCGGGCTGTCTTGACCTAACATAGTACATGGATGTGACACATTTTGAAAGATTTCTTAGAGTGGGTGCTTTGTAGAACAGACTTGATCCATACTGAGTTTAGAAAGTGACCAAACATTTTACTGACAGTTTAGTTTCAATGGCACAGTATTGACCTATCTTTAACTCTTTATCCATTGAAGTAAGACCTGATTTGTTTTGACTTTTATGTTTTTTTGGTGTGTTTCAAGGGCAAGCAAGTTAACTTAACTGTGGATCAGACAAGTGAACTAGAGCAGCGCTTTGGAGATGCATTAACTGTCATTGAGGTACTTATATATTAAGTGATGTTCTGTATTGGGCGATCCAAGCTTAATGATAAGGGTAGCACAAAATGTTTTCACAATAGTATACCTCATAATAACAACATGGTTCTACGCATCCTGAAAACCAAGGCGCCCTGGATATCAAATGATTATAACCAATCTATTGCATAATTTTGGTAACATTTATCATGCCAATGATGCTAGTGTGATATTTCAGCGCATGACTTTAACTTTGACTTTTTGGTAAGTCAAGCAACATCGATCGAAAGTAATAATAAGAAAATGTTTACTTAACCTGTGAAGTACATCGCACAAATACATAAGCTTAACTGAAACAACTTCCATTTATTGTTTTCAGATATATTTGATTCAGTTGTATTTGATAAATGTTGCCTCACAGTTGAGTAAAGCCGATTTGTGATATATTTGATTCAGTTGTATTTGATAAAGGTTCCCTCACAGTTATAGGGGCCTCTTATTAAGTATGTAATTGGACCTTTCTTTGAGTAATGTTGCCTCACAGTTATAGGGACGTCTTTTGTAATCTAATTTGAGGGGGCCACTTTTGGCACCATTATCGCCAGCCCTCTGGCGATTTTTGCCAAAATCGCCAAAATCACTAGTCTCCATGGGGCCACTTTGGGCATCCAATTCAAATCTCCAGAGGCTGGCGATTTTTCGCCATTTTCGCCATTGCATGCATTTCTGGAAGTAAGTGGTAAACCTGATAATTCTAGTGTTAAAAATGTGAGTAGTTTCCACTATTAAATCTTTATTATGTAAAGAGAAACTGGAGACTTAAAAATTATTTCAGTTCACACTTTTTATACAATGAAGCTGTCTAGTATATCTTCCCCATTGTTGCATTTTCTACTGGACTTACTTTGTTTTTTTTTTCTTTATACCAGGAGGTGATTTTTTAGTCGTGCGAGAATTAGAATATGTTAGCTTAAATATTCTAACTTACTCTAGGACGATTTAATAAAGCCATATTTGGTCAACTGCTCAAAATGAAGTCAGCTAAAGCTACTGGTTGCGATAGTATTCCTGCTCGGTTACTAAAGGATGCAGCCAATGAAATATCTAGACCTATTGCCTACCTCATAAATTCAACAATTTCTACCTGTATGATACCATCTGAAAGGAAAAGTGTGAAGGCAACGCCAATTCACAAATCTGGGGATAAGAGCGACCCAACTGATTATCGTCTGATTTCAGTTCTTTTATTGATTTCTAAAGCAATGGAATGTGTAATTCAATCACAGCTTGTGGGATTTTTTTACAAAAAACAATTCATTGTCAGTACATCAATAAGGATTCCAGAAGAAACATTCTACCAAACTTGCCACTGTACACTTTGTTGATCTCATCTTAGAACAAATGAATAAACATAGGATCACAGGGTCCATGTTTATAGACTTAAAAAAAAGCGTTTGACCTCGGTGACCACCAGTGTCTGCTCTATAAACTAGAACATTATGGAATTAGAGGGAAAAGTCTGAAATGGTTTGAAGACTATCTTAAATATAACCATGTCTTGTCGTTCAGTTTCGCCTTTGGTTATGGGGTCCCCGAAGATCCATACTGAGCATATCTGGGCAAAATCTGGGCATGATACTGTTTGTGATAAACATCAATGATCTCCCGCAAAGTGTGCTGAAGTCATCAATAGACATATATGCCGATGATACTGTTATTTATTTCTCTGATTCAAGTACAGAAATCATCAAGCAGGTTCTACAAAACGATCTAAACAGTGTTGAACAATGATTTGCAGGCAATAGGCTTGTACTCAACCTAAGTAAGACTAAATGGATGCTGTTCGGTACTAGGCAGAAACTAGAACATTCAGACCATAGAATACAACTTCACGGGAAAGAAATTGACAGAGTATCAAGCTTTTGTTACTTAGAAGTTACATTAGATGAGAATCTTTCATGGAGCGAGCATGTAGACTTGATTTGTAACAAAGTGAGCTATCATCTTGGCCTGCTGTCCCTGCATATGACCTTACTTTACCCTAAAAGCTGTTAAATGCGTGTATAACTGTTTTCTAAAGCCGATTTTTGATTACACTGATACAGTATGGGGTAGGCTGTTAATCAGGTGTAGTAACGGCTTACAACATCTACAAAATAAATCAGCGAACATAATACTAAGGAGAGCAAGAACCGAAGAATCATTCAAAATGTTAGGGTGTGTTACGCCGCAAAATGTAATAATCGCCGCAAAATGTAATATTAACGCAAAATGTAATAAGAATCGCCGCAAAATGTAATAACATTGACGCAAAATGTAATAAAATTTTCAACGCAAAATGTAATAATCTTTCAACGTAAATTGTAATAACTTTTCTAACGCATAATGTAATAACGCAAAATGCAATAATTTCCGAAATAACAACGTGCGTGCTATTTCAAAATCGGTATTGTGGCTCAGTAATCAGTAGCTGATGCAGATCTTCATGTGAATTATTTTTATTATTATTATTATTATTATTATCAATATTGATATTAATAATAGTAATAATATTTATTTTCTTCTTATTATTATTATTATTATTATTATTATTATTATTACTATTAATGAAATAACGGTTGAAACGTCGTGTTACTTCCGTGCTGAGCTAGTCTCTCTCGATCGCAGCCGTGTTTTGTCTCGTCACGCAACACTCTTCCCCAACAAAGGAGGAGGAGCATTGCGTGACGAGACAAAAATGGCTGCAAGAGCTTGCTGTACTGTACCACAACTGTAGCAACTGAGAGACTTTGTTTAATTTCAGGTGTTGAATTTAATTCAGTCAAATAAAATAGCTGTTGTCGAAAACAAGTAATAGAATCAACTTTCAAAGCGTAATTCAAATGCATTTAAAATATAAGATATCTGTCACACTTTTTTTCATGAGAACCAGACAACTTTGGCTGTAGCTTACTTTTCCTAAGCTCTCATTTAATAGAGGCTGAATTGTTCTTAATGCTGTTTTTTAGGTCCAAGTTTCTTTTATGTTGAAGTTTCCAAGCTTTGCAAAGTCAAATCAGTTTGCCTTGTAAGGCAGTTGTCGTTTGCCTAGAACAGATAGCGCAAAAATTTTTTAGTTAGCCCAGTAACGCATTTTTGATTGGAGTAGAGCTAAGCTGATGCACAAAAATATTGAATTTGCCTGGCAAGGCAGTTGTGATTAGAAGACAGGCCATCCTCTTTTTTTTCTCCGTTTAGCGTCGTCCGACCGACCCAAATTTTTGGCATTTTCAAAAAAAAAGTAACGACGTAGTTAAACCATTTTTCACTTGAAATAATTCTTTTAATCTGAAAAATGAGCATAGTAACAGCATAGAGAAAAACAGGAACAAAGACATAAACATTTTTTTACAGTATATTGTGTATTTTGTTAATCCAAATATGTGAATGTTAACTTTTAACGTCGTCCTGGGGTACCAGGGCCTCCTATTCCGAGACTTCTTGTGATTTTGTTTTTTAGGTTTTTTTTTTCAATCCGACCGACCGACCGACGTATTCGATGCTAAACGAAACCTTGAATTTGCTCAGCAACGCAATCGCCATTGGCTTAGAGTTGACGGCGCCAAATCTTGAACTGGGAGATCCATAAAAAGTGCGCAATTTCGTCTTTTTAGGGCCGACCATTTTTGACCACTTGAGGGGGGAGGGTGTAAGGGTAATTTAGTTTGGGTTAGAATTTTTGGATAATTAAGGGAAACTGTCCACATACCCCTCCCCTAAGCCAACATTAACACTTATTTCTCACTTAAGGCGAAATGTTGGCTTAGGACGGCTAGGTGGGCACTGTATTGGGACCTGTATTACGTTCAAATCAGCGGAAACAAACGTCCCATTCGGTTCCCTAAAGATGATTACATCTCCTCATTTCAACTGTTTCATTGTAATATTAGCAATAATAATAATAATAATAATAATAATTAATAGTAATAGTAATATTAATATTACTAATAATGTTAATATTAATATTAATATCAATAATAATAATAGCTTATAATTTAATTGAAGATCTGAATTCGCTACTACCGATGACTAAGCAACAATACCGATTTTGAAATAGCATGCACGTCGTAATTCGGAAATTATTACATTTTGCGTTATTACATTATTATGCGTTAGAAAAGTTATTACAATTTGCGTTGAAAGATTATTACATTCTGCGTTGAAAATTTTATTACTTTTTGCGTCAATGTTGTTACATTTTGCGTTAGTATTACATTTTGCGACGATTCTTATTACATTTTGCGACGATTATTACATTTTGCGGCGTAACAGGGTGGGTGAATTTGGAAACACAAAGGAAAGCTCACAAATGTAGTTTGCTTTTTAAATGTCTAAGTGAATTAGTTCCTCCATATTTATCAGATTATTTTATTAGAAACCGCCCTATTCACACTTACAAGACAAGCCAAAGGAACAACATTCATCTACCAAACCCTGAGTGAACGTTAGGAAAAAAAACACGTTTAGGTATTCAGATGCGGTTCTTTTAAGGTGACTCGACTGGATTTTTTGGTGGGGATACCTCCCAAGTTTGAGCATTAACTACGTCGCCACGAGTAAAGATATGGAAAAAAGATTACCACAACTGTATTATGTAAAGATGAAAATTTCTTACGATCTGGTTTTTATTGCAATCGGAGTCGCCATGGCAACGTAACGACGCCATTACGTTTTTTATTTATCTTCGTGTTTCTCTGTACCAAGAGTTTTTTTAAGAAATCGCTTAATGGAGTTTGTACCTGCCATAATTGCCTCAATTATGGCAAAGTTTGAACAAATTCTATGAGAGCGTTTTCGAGATATTTTGAAACGAAGTTTTAAGCATCATAAAAAGAGTGAAATAGCATGCTATCCACACAATTAGCTAAATTTTTAAGAAAATGATAAGCTTTGGAAACGCGGCTTCATCTCATAGTGGTTTGATTCCATTGAAAACTGCGTACAAAAAAAGAGGAGAATTGCTCCGGGCGATCGCGAGTAAGAAGAATCTTAGTAACTTGCATTCAGCTGCTTTTGTTACAGTTTTTGCATGTAATTTGGTCCATGCCTACAATTTTCGCATTTTTCCAAAAACCGCTCGATAAATTTTTTTATAAACTTTGCAATCCCGAGATCAATCGTCTATAAATATACCCTGCAAGTTTTAAGAATATTGAAAACAGAGAAGGCTTTCAAGTAGGGCCTCAAATATAACCAATTTTACCCCCAGATTTTGTGTTTACAAGTGAGCGTCCTCATTATTCACTGGCATTGTTTCCACGTTTCATATGGGAGGTATCCCCTCAAAAAAATCCAGTCGAGCCACCTTAAATAATCTTCCTGCATGAATGAAAAAAGTTACATCGGTTTCCATTGTTAAGAACTTTGTTAGACTTCATTTCAGCCTTTTTTTTCCTCATTGATACATGTACACCTTTGTACCTTATGGCAGCCCCACTATTTGTCTTTATCTTAAAGATGTGATTTTTATGAAGATATGTAATTTCCATTTTATTCACTTTTTAAAAATCCTTTTACATAATTTTAAGTAATTTTTTGTTTTTAAATTTTTATCATGTAGTCATTGTTTATGCAGGGCCCCTCTTGATACCAGCCAGTGGCTGATAATACTACCCTGCCTAATTAATGTTGACTTGACTTGAGCAATAAATCCTGATGACTTGACTTGAGCAATAAATCCTGCTTTGGTGAGCCAATCAAAAAGCAGGAAATTGCGGACTCACCAAAGCAGTGTAGTGTTAAAGTATTGTATTATATTATATATTCATTTAGTTGTTACAGTTGGTAAAAGCGTTAATGTAATTTTTGTGGCTTTACTTTCACCTTTTAAACTGGTTCTCAAAATTTGAAAATAAAAATAATTCTTTTTAATTCTCTGTTGCACATGTTGTTGTTTGTGAGCCTCTGCAGCCGCCTGTTCTGAAGTGTTTAGTGATTTGCTATTTGTTTTCTAAAGCCTCATTTACACATTAGACTGTTTTTAGTCCTACGAACTGCTTGTTACTAAAAACAACAATATTTAATTTTTATTGCAGCTAGTTGCATTTAAACCAAACTTTGAAGTGGGATCGAGCTCGCAACTGTCACTTTCAATCCCTGTCAAATCAGGTTGGTATATATTTGTAGATAAATGACTGCCAATGATGATCCTATAATGGAATGCCCAGGGTCTTGCACTGGAGGGCTAACCCCGTGAGTGTTTACTGCTAGAACGCCAGGTACCTGCTCACTGAAACAGTACTCGATCACCAGGGCGACAGACAAAACTTAACGAAGCCAGTAAGCATTTGTTGAAATTTCTGCTGCTAACCCAGCTGACACTGTTACATTGCTCTTTCTTCAAATTTCCCTAGTGACAGACTGTATTTCGGCAAGATTGTAAACGTCCTTGTCATGATATATTATTTTAATTTATTCAGTGAAAGTGAAAAGGGTATTTCAGGGCTGCCATTAAGAGGCGGGGCCGGGGATTTCCCCCGGCTACTATGGGCGTGATCCCCGGCTACTTTCATAGGAAAATAGACGAAAAATAGAACCAGACGAAATTCCTAGCTGTTTGATTCCCGGCCTACTTGTTGTATTTACCCTGCAACTTGAAATCTTAGTGACAACCCTGGTATTTAATATTTCATATCGACTATATATTTTGTACAATATAATTACTCCACAGCCAAACCTAAGTTTAAAGATGAAAATGTTGCTAAAATTTGGACTTTGTCAGCTCAGGACATTGATGACGAAGAAACTGTAAGTACATTTTAGCACTGTATGCTAATACATTAAGGTGGCCAAATACAGTTTTGCGGGTGGTCAGCAGTAACTCGCGTGACGGTGCGTGTTCTAAATTAGACAAACAAACATGGCGGCGAAAAAAGCAATGCTACACAGAAGACGATTTCTCAAAATCTACTCATTAAAAATTTTGTGATATTTGGCAGAATTTTTACTTCTATCGTATTTTAAATAACGAGAACTTTAAAATGGAGGTTGAACAGACGAATTTTGTGACACATAATAATTACAGTACAATTATATTATTGATTATGTAAAAACCCGTCTATTAAGATTTGATCAAATAAGTTTCAAATGGTAATGATTAATTATAGTAAGCTGTGTGCAAGTTCATGGGAAAATCTAATGAGTAAATTTTATTTAAACTGAGCAAAAGTGAAATTTTAAGGTTGCCATGGAAACTACGAAAACGTCACATTTTACCTGTCAATCAAAATCTTTCATCAGTATATTTTTCACTTGCCAAATTTCAGCTTGTGAGCTGCAACCTTTCTCGCGCCATAATTTGGCAAATGACATTTACTTGATAACTGACAAAACTGTGTTCAGCCATCTTAATAATTGATATGTAACCACAACAACAACAACATTGCCATTGGCTAATTGTTTAGAAAGGCAAATCTCATGAATATCATACATAGGGTATTGACATGACTTGCGGAATTGCATGAAGAACATTAACACGGAAATGCGTAATAACTATGAAATTGAGCATTTGCATATTTGTTTTATTTTGAGCAACAGCTCGAGTGCTTGAACCTGTTATGTAAGGTTGAGAACAAGGCACAATTCTTCTGCATCCGCTCCGGCATTCTGCCGTTTTCTGGCACTTACTGTCAAACTTTTTATTTCCATTTTGTCAGTATCTATGTTTAATGTGATTTTTCGGTGCACTTACTTTTGTAGGATATTGTTGACTCAGACACTCTCCTCGATGACAAAGACTTGCAAAAACCTGACCCTGCATCACTTAAAAGTATGTTGTCTCTCTGTTTTTTGCTGTAGGACACATCGCAATCAAACAAAACTCTTTGTAGAGCTGACCTTTTCAAATGTAACTATTTTGCAGTGGTACAAGGGTAGAGGACATATCAAGCATCTAAAAGGGAATTCCAGGGGCATCCATTTTAAAATTCTTAAATTACAACTTTTAAAAGTAATTTCATGATCAACAGTCCATTTCGCAGTTCTGTTACAGTGTGAAGTTTATGCAGCAACATATCATTTTTTTTGGAAATCTACTTTTACTCTTACAATGTCTAGACATGCATGTCTTGTCCAAACCTATCATTTTAGTTACAAAGCTACAAACCAGGCTAATGTAAATACACGGCTATTTTAATGCTTGCTCCTTCTTTAAGTTATCTATAAGCTTATTACGCCCGGGAACAAAGTAGAAGCCGGTTTGTACGTATTTCAGCTCTCCAAGATGACTTGCCAGTGCCGGATCTAGACCTTGAGATAAGGGGGAGCCCGGTCATCCAGACCCTGAGATAAGGGGGTGGCCCGGTCTCCACAACATTTTTTCGGCCCTGCGGGCCTCAGTTTACTCTAAAAATAACGGGGGGGGGGGTCCGCTGGATCCGCCACTGCGTGCCCTCTTACAGTGCGTCTTTTATTGATAAAGTACTGCTGGTCGTTTTTTAAACGTTACTTGATGACACCCGTCCATTAGTTGTAGTAAATTTTTGTCGTTATTATATTAACGATTTTATAAGTGATGATAGCACTGAGCAGTCAGAGCAGTAGGCCCGATTAGCGTTTGCTTATGTCTAACGACTAGACAATACGAAAGGTGATTTGATATATGTATATGTACATGTTTTAGGTGATTGTGGGACAAACAAAGCAGGCAAGAAAAAGGCCTGCAAGAATTGGTGAGAAAGCACAATAATTCCTATATAGGTTCTGCTTGTTCATTGACCTTGTTTAGCTAAGGTTGTAACTTAGTGTAACCATATTCTCATTTTTTTGCTTTGAAATCTTAATTCGTACCGTCATGACAAATTGTTCTAATGTATAATTTTCTGATAGTACTTGTGGTTTAGCAGAAGAAATTGATCAAGAAAAAGCTTCGGCTAAGACGACTGTCACATCATCCTGTGGAAGTGTGAGTATAGTGTGGTATAATATATTAAACAAGGGTGTTTAATCAGTTATCCAGTCAACGTGAATCCAAAAACGAAATCATGCATGCCAGGTTAATTTTTCCAAGGGACGCAAAAGTGGTAAGGGGTCTGGGCACCAAACCCTCTTCAGAGTGTTAAATGTCAGACGTTGCAGGTTCAATCGCCAGCTAGAGTAATATTCTTTAAAAACAGATATGAAACAATGCACTGTCTTTGTACACATAGCTCTAATAACGGTGTAAAAACTAAGCTCTCTCCAGTGAATAACGTCAAAAAAAAATTTCCAGATTTCTCAATTAGCATTTCATGAGCTGGCAGAAACACTCACCAGACAGTTTTGATTGTTTTCTGTTCATGATATTAATTTGCAAATAATGAATCTTTACATCAGGTCTCTTGAGAAATTATATATCATAAACAGCAAATAACAATAGACATGACTGAAAAAATAACCAGGCACGACAGGCAGCAGACCTGACTTGAAATCAAATGTACAAACCCCCAGGCAGAACTCTTGTCCAAGATGTCGTTTAAGAAATAGACTTCATTTTCCCGTGTGCTTGTCCTGTGGTAGATCAAACTTATATTGAGGCCTTAACTCCATTCCGAAGACAGTTTTACTGCCAAGCTAAGGTAACCGTGGATACCTGGAATATCTTTGGAATACGTCCTGTATAAATGTGATCACTATTGGCAGGCTTTACCTTCTTAAATACGTTATAATTAGGAAACCACTCATTTCTCTCCAGTATGTTATTTGTAATAGACTTGTAGCACGATTGTGTATTTGTTACAGTGCTACTTGGGAGACGCATTTAGATGTGCAAGCTGTCCTTACCTGGGAATGCCAGCTTTCAAGCCAGGAGAAAAAGTTGCACTTACAAGTAGACAGTTGAAAGGAGATTTGTAGTGCAATTAAAGAAAGTGAAATGTTTCCACACATTTAAGTCACCATACTGTGATTTAGTTTTTCTGCATTTTGCAGAGATAATGTACCACGTTTTTGTCATAGCGGAGCTCTCGCGCGCGTGGTAACCTGAAGATGCGAGAAATTTAGTAACCACGTGACCATCCTCGGTCCGTACGTCCGTCCTCACATGTAAGCCTGAGCCGAGTTGTTCGAAGCTGGGTTAAGATAACCCAGGGTTAGTGCGAGATTTGAATTAAGATTTGAAAGCGTAAAAAGCAATTCAGTTTTAATTCTTTTTGTCCACAAGTTGATGATAGGAAGCTCTAAAAATAAGAGAGAAAATTATCCGAGAAAATGCTTTTGAACACAAGAAAAAGAAACCAGGGTTAAATTTAACCCCGGGTTAAGCGCTAACCGGCCTTCGAACAACTGGGCCCTGCTGAAAAAAATTCTTATTTAAGCACTGGTGCGTTTTGGTGGTAAATCGCACGGCCATTCGCACTTTTAGAGAGAAAAAAGGTAACACAAAACCCGCTCTTTTTTTTTCGAGTAAATTTTAATTTATCTACACTGAGGTGGATAACAGACAAAGAGCTCAAAGGAGAGATATAAAACAAAGGAGACTTATTTCGTTGCAAGAAAAACATGAAAATTTATGGCGGTGGTGAGCAAATGTGAAGGTTTCAAGTTTATTTTTTGTTTAAGTAAATTATAAGTATATAAAAGAAAGCTGCGCCTTTAGCCTTGGCTAAATCTACATATAAGCGAGATTTAGAATCACGTTTACGGCAAACGTCAATTTGTACCACGTCATGAAGTTTTCCTTTTACTCTTCTTCTCATCATTTCATAAGTAGGTCGAGTATGATCGTCCGGCTGAACGTAGTCCTGAATAGGACTGCTGTTGTTGACAGTGACTGACGTTTCGACAACCTGTGCGGTGCCCAGTTTGACTTTGCTTTTGGAAATAATGAATTGCGCGCACAACCTACAGATTAGTTAATCTGTCGGCTGCGCTGATTTCCAAACTTTAAGCCAATAAGAACACAGATAGTCCAATTTACAATATATTAGGAACTGAACTGGTCATACTATTAGTGAATTAGTCTGCTCCTTGGAGCATTAAGAGTGATTTTCTGTAAAATTCGAACTTCGGCCTGACACGGTACCTCATCGATTTGGCTGATTTTTGGCATGTAGTCTTAGAATGGTGTCCTAAATACTGAATGCATATTCTAAGGTTCGAATTCTCGTTGGTTTCAAAGATACAGGAATGACAGTTTTGACGAGGCCTCGAGCGGCCGCCATGTTGGTGAACTGAAAGAGATTTACAGTAATTAATTCTAGCCTTGTCATTAAAATAACTTAATCGTGACTCATACAGTTGCAAAGAACTATCCTTCCTCCTTTCATTTACCTACTCTTATCTGAAAATGGTTAAGCCTGAGCTACGAACGGCTATAACTTCTCACAGCACTTTTTCGGTACTTTAACGGTACACAAATTTGGTAGAAATTGGAAGGCCAATATCACCCATGCCACATCGATTTAGACTAAGCCATTTTAACTAAACATAGTTTGTTTATAGCTAAGTTAGATTGTTGAATAAAATAATTGGGCAAATGCAACGGAACAGAAATATGATTGCATGAATGCGCAGTGGTTCAGCCACTTGGCCGCTAAAACTTCAAAACAAAATTCGGTGAATATTTGAAAAGAAAATTCTTTAAAAATTGATCGTGCCTCTTAAACCCTATCTATCGCTTAAAAAACCCTCCCTTGAAATGTAAACAGATGATCTTTTGATTCTGATCTTGCGAAGAGCTTGAAATATGCGCTAAAATGAAAATTATAAATTTTGTTACACACGGTACTAGTTCAAGTTCGCTCTTCGGGAGCCGCTCGTGTACTGCACAGATACTATTTTCTCTGTAGTATTTCGCTGTATACAGCTACAAATTACATATTTTCTTAGGCAAAGATAACGCAAACGTTGTCAATTTTAATCAAAAGGCTAGAAAAGCCAACCGTGCACTGTAGCTTTATGCAAATTGTATGGTATTCGATAATTACACGTGTAAACAGGAACCTACCTTTGCTAATGTACACTGTTTGGCAGATCTTTCCAGCGTAAGATATAAAACTAGTACATGAAATGAAATTAAAGAACTCATCAAGTCAAATTACCTGATCGTACCGTCATTACTGAATAACAAGTCCGCAAAATATGACATGGAATGATCGGTGGGAGACGAAGCTATTTTTAGGAGGACAACGAACTGCACGCTGGAACGGAACTGAAATGAACAACCTCAGTCAAGTTCAGTCTTCTTGACGCTATTAAACGTTTCCCCGAATTTGAACAGGAAGTTGTTTTCTATTTTCTTTCTCATTCTTGCATGAATTCTGCAGTTCGCCCACTATTTTTCGTAACTTTTAATTTTCTAGCTAACTGGAACTGTTTAGAACTACCACCCCCCTCCCCCCTCCCCTCTTTGAGTGAACTTTCATTCGGTCTGATTCACAATAATTTTCGAACGGTGACAAAGTGATATTTGAAATGACATTTTATTTAGTATTTTTAAAAGCTCCTTCTTTTTTTCCCGATAGCCAGGAATGTTTTGAACGTAAAGGCTGAAGTGGCGGTGTTTTTCACGACTCTGCTTGTAGACTGACCTCATCACCAGTACCACGGACATAAAATCTGATCGGAGAGGGTCATACAGTAACTGATGGGTCTCTGAAAAGCGAAATGCAGTCACGTGGGGCGAGTAGGCTATATGGATGATGAACTCATTGTTTATAACCCCATAACCGTATCCCAAAAGTCGAGCCAGCCCGTGCGAGCGAACACAATTTTGGGGCCACTGGCCACGCCCTTATGTTTAGCGGGAAATTGGTTGATTAGTCAAATCTCCTTAACTCCACGACCATGCACCTTTCCAAATATAGCCCTTCTTATCATCATATAGTTACGGCCTCCCGTAAGCATTTGCAACTATTTTGATTTGTAGAAGACTGTTTAACAGTTTTCATTACTTTAATGTCTCGTAAACAACACGAGGTACATGTTCTGATCTCTCCCCCACCCTTCCCCATCCATACAAAAAATTTTCAGACCAACACTGAATTGCATGAAGGTATGTACAAAAATATGACCATCTCGAGGCAAGGTTCATCACTGTAACTCACCACATAAAAGCCTTTTCGTTGTTTGCCATCGACTGATTCTGTTCTGAATACTAAGGTCCCATAAACAACGCCACGTTTAGAAAGAGCCCGCCCTTTTCAATCCAAGAAAACCCAAGTAGCGATTTCACCAACGGACATAAGCCGTAAGAAAAGGACCGCGTCAAATAGTTCATGAAATCACAAACGCCTCATGACACCTTTAATTCACTCTTACTTCGATAAACTAATTTTTAATTTTTAAGCATAAATGACATCAGAATGCGCGATTATGAGCATTGTAGCTTATGAAAAGAAAATTTAACACCTGATGCACATGAAAGCGTCTAAGAAGGGGACTAGGGGAATTAGGAACATTGTGCTTACCCCTGCAAAAATATTGGCTAGTTCTTTGAATAGACTCAATTAAAGCCGTTTTTGTTCAGTAAGGAGCTGTTAGATGGGGGGAAAGCTACATAAAGTAGATCGCATCAGAATACGGCATAGGACTAGGCTCTCAAAATCAATAAGCTGAATGCAAGACCAATTATTATGTAAAACAGAGAAAAACTCCTTGAGGGAAAAAAATTATGGCTAGGGAAAAGACCCGAAGGTGGAAAGTTAGGATGGTAGCTTCTTTTCAGGTAATCGATCATTTACGTTAACTTCCGCTATCCGACGGGCATATCGGAAAGACTGAATGGATGAGAGTATAACACATTCAAGAAGAAACAAATTTGTGATTTTTCACAACTCAATAAAATAACTAAAATTGTGTACTACTCGGTTATACAAGATTTTTGTTTTCAATTTCAGATTTTTACGATGGGTCATTAGCCCCCGTACTCACTAGACACTACTTTACAATCATCGTGTTAAAATCAGTGAAATACTCCAAAACAATTTGGATTCCTACCCTTATACCTTTATTAAAAATTAAAGTTGGGAAGTTTGTTGTCTTCTAAAAGTAGTTTGAACAGCCGAACATTTTTTTACACGGAGTGGGGAAGGCAAAGCTTCACTTATCTCTTCTAAGGTAGAAAGTGTCAGCAAAACGTGAGAGTCGTCCTTGAGGGTAAAGTGTCTAACCTAATTTTCTCACCGATTGCAAGTGCCATTTCATCCACGCATAACCTCACCTAGTTAACAGAATTAGCAAATGTAGTGGGGAAGCGTTGCGAGAGAACTGAGTAAGATGTTAGGGTAAGTTTTGGAAATTTTCCGCACACCTGGAACTGTCCTGGCTACGCTCCTGATAGAGACTTTTGCTGGAGAGAAATTGAAACATGTTCGCTAATATAGTGACGACCAGAAAGGACAAGCCATAGGATAGTTCCAGAAAACCACCCATTAAAATAGATCACAAAGTTGTCGCGGCGGAGGATGAACTTGAAGGCATCTGATGAATTGCAATTTTTTCAGGGGAGCCCAGACAAGATTATGTACGATGGGCACAGCTTGTTTAATCTGGAAAATTTGGAGAAGCTCAAGGCAAATCGCTAGACAACACATGCTAGAGCTGAACTAAAAATCTTTTGGGCCTTTGAACTCTGTCCCTAAGGGTAAAGGAGAAAGTTTCCCTTTATCAATGCATTAACCGAGTTGATTATGAATGTCTCCTTATGTTGGACGTCTTACTAACAAGCACATTACCACTACTTGCCCTCAGAGGCGTTTTTCATTTGACGAGCAGAGAAAATTACTAGGTTTTGACTGTTTGAAATTCTGGATACCAGAGTGAAGACGCCTTTTTGTATGATGACGTCATCGTCCTACAGTAAAAAGCGTTCGTTTTTACCACTGATATTACGTCAATCGGTACACTTATGTTGTCGAAAGGTCCGTGAGCATGGTAAATGATTTTACCTTAAACTGCGGACACATCTTCAATCACTCTTTATTGTTCGCGATATCGGATAAACACTCTGGTCTCTAACTGAATTTTCTTTGCTGTTTACTTTATTTTGAATTAGGACTGTCAGGAGTTGTCCATGCATTGTCTAGCGATTTTAAGCTTTTTCAAGGAAACAAAAATCTGGAATTGTCCCTAGGGTGAGGCATTTGCGCACAGTTTTAAAGCCCTTCGGTGGGGTGACTGTGGTTTTTGCTGTCCCGGGCTCATCCCTCATTCTCCTTAACCCCTTCCAAACCAATTTTTCTGTTTATCAAGAATCTCCTCAAAACGGGCTTCGTGATTGAGACAAAATACCTGAAAATTGTACACGGAACCGTTGTTAACGGTGTACAAGGTAGAATGAGTCTATTCATTACTTTGCCAACGCCCAATTTTTAAAACCGGAAGTAATGATGTTTATTTCAAGGGCTCACGTCTCATGAGTTTTGAGTAAATCTTCAAACGCTGTAAACACATGTAGCTGGAACTATCATCGCATCGATCCTCGCTCACTAATAACGATAACTTATATCAACTTCCATTATTTATTGCCTGGCTAAGATTTTCACGGATTCTTCAGTTCAGTTGTTTGAAACCAGACGGTTTCACGTGAGTTGTAACGCCAGGCAAGGAACGTGACGACCCGCGATATGCGTGGGAAAATATTACTTTTTTTTTCGATCAAGGTGGAAACTGGCAACTTTGTCGTCGAGTAAGGTAATACATCTCAATTTTCATTACTATGGTTAATTTCAAAAGCTCTGGTTTCGGTAAAGGAACTGGAGGAAAATCAGGAAAATTCCAGTTCGACTGTGATGGTTGAATTTTGTTTACGGGTCATAGCATAAACATAACAAATTCATTTTCCTTTTCCTTTTCCTTATACAATCTGCCTTTTTTTTTATACTGTTTTTCGCAGCAGAGTTATCGATTATATTACAGAGGCTAATTTTATTACACAGATCACTCAGATTTAATGACAGAAACTCTATTATCGATTGTAATTTTGGCAACACCTGGCGAGTATTCGGTGTACAGATTATTGACAAAGTCGCTAGAACAGTCTTCCATTCATTACTTTTGTTTCTGCTCCGTTAAATTTGCCCAATTTTTTTTTTATTAACGAACTCGATTTAACTACAAACAGTGAGTATTCAGGCAGATTGGCAAGCTTCAATGCGATGTGGCAAAAAGAGATATACGCCTTTAAAATTCTGTTAATTTTTCAGGTGTAAAAAATTCAAAAAGTATACCCACCAAAAGTTTAATCGATCGTTGCGAAAACGTTATCAATTTCGAAGTAGTTTCTAAAAATACAATAGAGAGGGATTGTTCTTTCAATCTGTATTGGCAAAGGAAGATTAGCTTTGAAGACAGGGTTGTAGTCGAAGGCGCAAAAGCAGCTTCTATTAACCAATATGGCGCCGGTCCGAGGCACCCAAAAACCGGCCATGTCGATAATTTCCGAAGTAGGAGGAATTAGAACCTAAAGTTACCTATTCCTTATTAAAGACCTCAAATCAAGTCTACATGCCAATTTTTAGCCAATTCGGTGAGATAGTGTGGCAGCGCCTTTTTGATATAGCTCGAATCTTACAGACAACTGCTCTTAAAACGCTCCTACTAACAGTTTCTCAAACACGCCCTCTTTCCAGCACTTCGTTGTAAAAAGAAAAAAAAGTACTCTCTCGGACCTTTTACGAACAACGTTTGATATCAAAAGACAATACTCTTGGACGCTGTTAAAAACCGGTTTCTGGCGCTGATCTTAGAATTGAATTTTTGGTGGCTTCACTTTATTATACGTGTATTTTATCCTAATAATTCTCACTCGACAAGGCGGTGCCTGGCATGGGCCTTTACGTCCGGTTCGCACGTTTTATTAACCAATGTTAATGATTTATAATGCTCATTGAATTGAGTGGAGTGCAATTTGGTCTGAAATCCTTAAACCCCTTAAATCCTTCGAACTTCTTAAACATGACGAAAACTGTAAAAAGGTACAGTAAACTGCGATATTTCAGTGACAGGTTAAGGTCAAAATTACTTATCCAACGAGTTTTAATCAGTCGAAGTAATCTTCAATGTCTATGTTTGGATCTAGTAAATGATCCCTCAGAAGAGTTAAATCCATTTCATTTAGAATTAAGTTCTCAAAAGTCTCTTCCAGCTCTGTTTCACCAATAAGAACAGCTCCACACATTTTACCACGGTGAAGAACAATTTTGACGTATTCCACAGCCTTGGTACATCTGACCAGCAATTCATGGTCACTACCCAGTCCTTGCGCATTGTATTTACCTAACAACACTACTTTATATCCAAAAAACTGTGTCACATGTGTAAACAGTTCAAAGCAAAAATCTGTCGATATTTGCTCATTAGATAAATGAGCCATCATACACTTAGCTGCAAACACTCCCATCTGTCGTGCCTGACTCCACAGCCTCATTTGGAACCAACAAGGAGCTGGGTTCCAGCCAGTGCTGCAAACATCACCTGCAGCATAAACGTCTACAACATTGGTTTGCATATTTGAGTCAACTAACAGGCCACCATCATCGGCAATATGAAATGGAGCGCATGAGGCAAAGGGTTGTGTATTTGGAATGACTCCTGTTGCAGAAACAATAAGATCACACCCATATATCTCATCATTTGTAAGCTGAACATACACTGGCCAATCAGGCAGATCTGCTGACTCCCTTCCAGTAGTTTCATGCCATGGAGAGGATGCTTCGTTTTGATTACTTTGTTTCAGTTCCTGTGGATCAATCAGGTGTTTGACTTCACAGTTGTACCGAACGTAAACTTGTCTTTTAGCTTCCTTTTCACTGTTTATATCACATAGAGTTAGTCCTGAGCTCCAGTCTGGTCCCAGTGCACCTCCACACAGAGTCTGAGTTGAATCACTGGAAGCAGAGCTATGCTGAGAAACTGAAAAAATAAACAGGCACTTTAGAACTGTCTTCATCAGTTTGCCTACCCTGAGAAACGCTCAAGAAACATTTCATTATGTACAATTTAAAATAATCCCTGAAAATACATTCTTCGGTCCATTTAGCTTGCCCTAGATAATAAGTAAGTCTTTAGGGTTTCCTCAAGGAGAGTAGAGAAAGTGAAAAACGTAAGCACATGTGAGACTGTCTCCTGTGAGAAGTGTTTGCATATTTTGCTGCACATTCTAATTATCTTTGCATTCATCTCTTCATTCCGCGGTTCCAATAGATGAATTCATGATTTCATCCGTTGTTCATCTTTCTAGGGTATATCATGAACCAGTCTATTAAAATGAACAGCTGCCAGTTAGTATGTTAGCTCAATTGGTTAGAGCACTGAATTGGCATTGCAGAGGTGAAGGTTTGAATCCTGGCAAGCCTGAAATTCACCACTGCATAAGCTGCGTTTTTAAAACGCATTGCAGTTAAAAAACTGCAATGATCTTCTTTGCCTTTTTGTTTCATTCCACAATTCCAGTATACGAAATTCATATATTCCTGATTTCATAACTCTAACTATCCCTCCGGAAATGCTACATCCCCCGGTTTCTATAAGAAGGACCTCCTTGCGGCACTTTCAAAGGAAACAAAAGGTAAATAGAACCAACAAAACTTCTGAGCTGTTCAATTCTCCACCTTCTGATTGCATACAGTCAGCAGCTTGAAATCTAACAGTGGCATCCCTGTAAGGTACCACATGTATTCACTAATAGTTTAGGAATACCCTAAGCAAAATACTTTTGGTTGGAGAATTTGAATGAATTGTCTTGATATCAGACCCCAACATTCATGTCAGTACAGTCAAGTCAAGCAGAGTGAAAATTCAGGCTTGCATGTGCGAGCCCTGCATAAGCTTGAATTTTTCCAGGCTTTATTTTGCAACTGTAAAATTGTGGTTAGACTGCTTGAAGTCTGCCTCTTGTCTCAAAATCCGTCTAGTTCTTAACTCAGCCAGCGCGATTGCAACCATGACTTTATGCTACAATAAATATTATAAGGGATTGGGATTGGCATAAGCCCTCCCCTCGATCGCCGCTTGCGTGCTTGGGTTTTGCGTGCAGTAACTTTGCAAAGAAAAATAAGAGATTGCTCGAGAAACTGCTCGAAGTGTAAATTGTGGTGTACAAAACTGATCTTAGTAGTGGACTATGTTGGAAGTTAACCCCATTTTGGATTTCCCGCATACTAATTTGGATTTCCTGCATACTAATTAAGTGTCTTCCTCCATATATAATGAAGTGGATAGGTTTACTAATAAGCGTCACTCTACTACAATAGGAACAATAGACTTGCCTAGACTTGCCCGGTAAGTAACTTGAGCCCGGTTTTCGGACCGTCTATTAAAAGAAACATAGTAATAAGAGAAGCGATCACCTGGCAACGCGAGAAACGGCTTCCTATATCTTAGTTAGCGCACAATAGGAATGGAAATTAATTAATCTTCATCTTCGTTCTCCTCTGTAGAAGGGGAATAGAAATTGGTTTCCAACGTCTTCGCGTTTTTGTGTGTAACTGGTCCGCAATCGTGACACCGAAGAAAGCCCTCTTTCATGTAATGTCTCCCCTCGGGAATCTGGTGATCGCATATAAGACAAATCTTGTAGTAATCGTGCCAAAGGCATTTAGGACATTTCATGATCAATGTCCCGTACATATTAGAGTTCTCGCATTGTTCACAGGGACTTTTGGAGTGAAAGGTGGTGGACGTTTCAGGGTTACTACTTTCTATCTCCTGACTGTCGTTTTCAGTGTCGTCGCTCTCTTGGATGCCTTCAGCTTCAGCGCCATTCTCAGAGGCCACTTCCTCCTCCTGATTTTCAATATCCGATGAACTCTCTTCATTATTACTTTCGTTATCGGAAGTATTTTCTACATTTTGGTAGCCTTTTTCTTTTTCTATTAAATCACTTAACACCTTTTTTTTCTTGATTAAACCTTTATCTATCCCTAACTCCGCAAGTCCATCTAGAAACGTATTCAGCGCACGAGGCTTGGTAACTTCATTGTTATGAGGGAGTGACACATACTCAACTAGCTCAGCGGTGTTTGTGACGGGAATAGTGCGTTTATTTCCAAGTAATTGTCCGCTGGGGGTCCAGAAAAGAATATCTTTGGACGCGGCCATACTATGCAGCAAATCAGAAGCACGCTGTTCCGGCACTGCTCGGGAAAGATGACTCAAAACATCCTTTATTCTTGGTTCTTCATCCTCGCTTTCATCACCAGAACTTTCGCATTCTTCATCTTCACTCTCGTGATCTTCTTCTTCAACCAAATCTATCTTTCTCTTCATTTTTGATGAGCACCCGTGACAGACTTGGCTTCGAATGATCAACCTAGCGATGTGTCACCTCTCTTATAGCATTAGAAATCCTAAGCTTGAAACGACAGGGGCTAATACATCTTCAATAAAACCACTACCCTCTTGAACAAGGACTTGCGTCTTTGTTTTGAAAGGGACATTTGGTCTAGCCGGGTTAAGTAAAGCATCCTTATGTTGCAGCAATATCCGCTTATTTTCTTCGGAGATAGGAATGTGTCCCATGAGTATATTGTATAAGACTTGGACTAGTGCATGTAGTTGTTTTGGATTAGCTGTCTTTAAAAGAAACTGGCGCTGATAAGCAGGGCAATAAGCTAACAGCTGAAGAAAACCACGATTGTTGTTCCCTACACGAGACATTGCTGCAAAGTGAACTAAAGATGGCAGTTGGCAGTCTTATATAGAATCTCGTGGAGAAAAAAAAATGAAACGAGTGGGCGAAGGACAGAAAACAATAGAATGAGGAGGAGGAGGAGGAAAAACAATAGAAATGAAGAGGAGGAGGAGGAAAACAATAGAATGAGGAGGAGGAGGAGGAAAAGCAATAGAAATGAGGAGGAGGAGGAGGAGGAAAGAAAACAATAGAAATGTGGTGGTGGTGGTGGTAATTGTGGTTTTAGGCGAGGAAAACAATAGAATTTTGTGGCCTGAAAACCTATATAAATGTGCAACATTCTACCTCTTTCTCAGTCTACATTTTGCTCCTGAGGAGTTGACATGAGGTGGCTCTGTTCTGTCTGCGACAAATCCTTTAGTAGAAAAGATAATATGCAAAGGCACGTGATGTCTAAACACCGCAATGCTAGTCTCACCCCATTTCAAACAGTTCCAATATTTTCACAGAAATGTCAGCGGTTTTGCTTCGAGCACCCTTTCACCTCCATGATTGCCGGAATGACCTGGTCCGGAATCAAAGAAAGACTATCGTCAACTCGTGGGTACGTTGTTTAGAAAATAATCAATTAGTTATCACCTCTGGTTTTCCCACAGTGAATTTTAGGAAATGATAGAAATTTATATTATAAATATACTACCCTTGTTCTGGAAACACAATACTTTTCTTGCTGTTTATTGCACTTTAGTAACAGTTACTGATTTAAGTATATATTTAAAAGCAAAACAAAAAAAAACAGCAAAACAAATAAGCAAACAAGACAAAACAAAAAAGAAAAAAAAAAGGAAGAAGGTCCTTAGCAGGATTTGAATCCGGTACCTTCGGTTTAACTCGAGCTCACATAGCCATTACGCCATTTAGGATGGTAAACTGATTTGGCGAAGAGTCTCAAATTGAATGCCTTTTCCATGGAACTTCCGCCGGCAAACGACCGGGGCAAACGATCGAGCCATAAAAACGACTCGAAGCAATGGGATGAAATTAAGGCTAATTGAAAACAGGCTACTGACAGTAACAAACAATGTAAACGCATTTCATGGCAATGAAAGAACATATGCGATACAAAGCCGACACAACTCCTCCGCGAAGTAGGACGCAAAACATTAGCTTATGTTTTCGTATCTCGATTTCCGCTGTTATTTTAAAAAGGTAATGCCTAATGCTCAAACTCACATCCATTTCCCCCTGTGATCTTGGGGAGTCCTTAAGAAGAAGAAGAAGAAGTGCCTTTATTTACCATACATTTCACCAGTCCGTATTTTATAGTCCGTATTTTATACCCAGTCCGCAGTCCGTAGTCCGCAGTCCGTGTTTTATACTGACCGCCATAAATTCATTCATACACATAACCTACTACAGTACTACAAGGTAGGAGATCAAGCCAGCGTCGAAGTTGAAGGAGTCGAAGAGCAAATGCTCATCTTCTTGTCAAGTTTAACGCCTGGACGGGTCAAAGGCTTTTGAATCGTACTAATTTGAAAGATTCCTGCCTGTCTTAAATTTGGTAAGACCTCTATCCTAAACGTGCTGTAGCGCACGATGCACGCTCGCAGCGAGGAATTTGATGCTTCCGAACTTCGGCGAGCGCGTGCTTCTTTGGAAACGATAGATCTTCGCGCTCTCGAGTTCGGACCCGATTAATTACGAAGTGCGTCTACTACGAGTGAGTGAGTGACTCATTTGCATATCTCAGTCCCTGCAATAACTCGTGGTACGCTCGCGCGTACCCACGAGTTAAAAACTGCCTGGGTTCGATCGCTATTGCAACAAGCTTCAGAGACCATTTACCCTCCCCCGGAGAGGATCGTTTGGTGTTATTCACAATGGTAGCCTGCCTATACATTGAATTCGTCGAGGGAATTCCTACGGCTTTGGAGCACGATGCCTATTTTGATGTGAACAAACGGAATTTGATCGTGTTTGATGATCAGATGATTGACGCCAATAAAGACAAGCGAATTGTGAACCACGTTACTCGTGGTTCTCATCATCGCAATCTGAGCGTCATTTATATCGTGCAGAATCTATTTCATCAGGGGAAAGGTAGCCGCAGCATAAGCCTAAACAGCCATTATCTGGTGTTATTCAAGAATCCACGAGACAAATTGCAAATCCTGACTCTGGCGAAGCAAATGTATCAAGCAGGGTTTCAAGAAAATATTCCCCAAGAGCTTCCATAATATCTGAAGCAGCAAACTCTTTCGCCTGTCCCGCTTCTTCCAGCTATGCAAGAAATACAAAGCAACCTGGATGACGTGCTTTCTCGAAACGATCTTCGGGACGATGATAAAGCTAAACGATACCTTCAGTTGCAAAACAGATACCTGGCTTTTAAAGAACAATTAAATACAAGAACACGACCGGAAGAAATAATCAGCACTGTTCCACACTTAACATCAAGGACACAAGATTCTTGGACGAGTAGGCCTTGATCATGAACGCGAGGCTCATGCATGCGGGGACCTTCTCGCCAAGAGGACAAACAAATATGAGAAAACTGCGGCTGAGTTTGCCGAATTTAAGGAAAATTTTTAACACTGTAAAGTTCCGAAGGGCTTAAATACTTGAGAGGTCATTATTTCAAACAACAAAAGGAAGATCCGCTCATTATTACTAAGAAAAACAGCGATCCTAACCATAATTATATTGATGAGAAGATAACCTGAGATCAGGCTCTATTATTTCAGCTAAAAATAAAACAGTCAGCACAATCACATTTAACTTCTGGCGAGATTAATAGAGACCTCGAAGGTTACTTCTGTTGGCGTAGAAAGTAAAAAGTTTTCGAAAAGACGGTGACACGATGTTCTACCAGTTTTATTATTTTGGCAAGGCGCTCTGGAATTTAAAATACTGAAATCTCTATTTTTCCGTTGTCTTGATATTTTCCTCGGCAATTTCCCCCGATTTTCAGTACATAAATCTTTAAAAACAAAAGCAAACAGCCATTACCCCGAGCAAGGACACCAGTTTTCTTGGTTTACTTTTAACAAAAAGCGTAGTCAAACAACCAGTCTGTGAACACTGAAAGTTCCTTGAACAGCGATGCGATATTTTTCGTCTAATACTGCACAGTTGGCGATTGAGGTTTCTTTCGTAGTGAGCCTCCGCTTGCGTACTCCGTTCACAGAAGTCATTCCCGGCTAAACTTTCAAATGAAACCAGTTTTAAGATGGACAGTATTTTGATTTGCACCCGTTTGTTGGTAAATCAAAATGCACCTTGTTACCGGTCAACAACTTTCAGAGGGATTCAACTCCGCGATACACTTACTTTGCGTAAATAAGGCAAATCCTGAGAAGATATGAACAACCACATGAATTTTCTGAATTTCCATGGTACATATTAAGGCATATTTTCCTACCATAAGACCATAAACAATAAAAAAGACAGCAAAATCGATCCTTCGCTCCACCGACGACGGATCATTCACGAAAACAACCACGCGAGGAATAAGCGTTTTCAACTTCCGGCGTTTCCGACAGCCAATCAGATCTTGTGGCATTGTTCTAACAGCCAATCAGCGTTACGGCCAAAATCTGGCCGTAACGAGCAAACTTGTCATAGTTTGTATCAGGCCCAATTTCAGCGGTAGCCGTTAGAGAGAATCAGATAAAGGTTGGGCCAGGGCGGATAAATGTTGGGCGGTGAAACGAGCGCTCCGCTCTTCATTTAATGTGTGATGCGGAGTAGTAGTAGTAGTAGTAGTAAATTTATTAAATCTCCAGCCAGTGGCTCTTCCGATTTAATTTACAATAATTGGAAATCGAATAAAAACGACTTATAAAAATTACAATAATATCATGATAAAAAAAAAAACTAATTCAAATAAATAAATTAACCTATTCTAAAAATGCTAAACCTAAAAAATTTACTACGAACTATTATATAATTCGCGCTTTACTGCGCGCTTAAAAACTGAGAGTGTTGCGCTATTTTTTGTTTCTTCACTTATAAGAGAATTCCAAGCAGTGATTGCTCTGTAACTAAAGGAACTAAGTAGGACTGGCACGAGCGCTCTTTCCGCACTTCCGGTGCGCTTGAAGGCCGGCGAAATTTTCCTTTTTGCAAACCGGAAATCCAATTTTCTTTCTGTAATTTCAGGCTACAATGCTAAATAGATAAATTCGTTTCATAACAATATCAATAAACAGTTTCATATGTTTGTGTCTGTACGTCTATAAGTCAAACTTGTTGGTCGTATAATGCCAAAATTTCAGTTTAATTTGAAAGTGTTGAATACCTCCTCCTTGCACTAACTATCACTTAATCGTCTTTCGCCGTTTCGTTTGCAAAAGCTTAACTCTTTTTAACCTCAATTTTTACATATGTTAAAGGGGGACAAATTTTGTATAACATAACAAAAAATTAGATTGATATATATTGATATAGTGGCGTTGTACTTCTTCAAACTTTGCTTCTCAGGTGCAACGCGCCATGGCGATTCGCGCAATGCGTTGCAAATCCGGCAACCGCATGTAAACAAAATTTATTGAGGTTAATTGTAAGGTTTTTTCTCAGTTTTTCTCTCTAAAACAAAACAAGGTAACCAGTAAAAACTGAGGGGAAACTAATTTTGAAGTTTCGAAGAAACAGAAAGACGTATGAGATGTTTTTTTCAAAATTAAAAAGAAGGATGATGGTGATTGAAATTAGCATAATTTCACCTTGCACGAGCTGCACGCATTTATAAAATACACGTCATCTAGTTATGAAACACGATCTGCTGTCTTTTAGTTTTGCCATGGATGACATGGATGAGATTTTCCTTCGTGTTTCAGACAGTACTTAGTTGTTTTTGTTTTGGAGTAACATCGACATTGGCGAGTAGCAGAACGAAAATATAATTCAGTGGTAGAATCATGGAAGTAATAAAAGAGACCCTTTGAAAGAGATGTTTGTCTACTTCAACTAAACCTCCCGCAAAAAATAGCAACATTTGCCTCTCGGAGACAGCGTACCAGCACAAAGGAATGAGAAAGAATGAATGTCCTCTTTCGCCTATTATTTAAAAAATGTATAATAAAACAATTATTGAATTCGGTTTTCGCATGATATCATGAATTATCAAAACCTTGTGTCTGTATTATCTGCCTCGGTTTTGATAATTCATGATATCATGCTCAACCTCATCCAATAATTGTTTATTAACAGAGGCAGCTATCTCTCAAAAAGCTGACAAAGAAAGCCTCACCCCTCCACCACCCTTAAATCCTGCTTTCCTGACCCCTCCTCCCACAGTAGAAACCCCATCACAACATGGCCCGAAGCGCAAAAGGTGTCGGATTCAATTTCTAAATTATTTGGATGATCATAAATCACATGGCAAACAGCTGAAGAAACGTCGGCATAAGAAATTCAAACCTTACAAGTACTCCATGGGCGAAGAAGAAGGAATTGATTAATTTCCATTCCTTACAAATCACTGTGTATTTGACTCTTTTTGTCATTGTTTTTTAAAAAAGTTGTTTAAAACGGTATCTCTCTTGTCTTTTTATTGCTAGCAATTATGAATCGCGTGTTTTAATTGATCCTTGTTAAGTTATCTGTTTTATAATAATACGTGAATATGCTCCCTTGAGGTTTTTCCTGTAGAGCTAATTTGTATTCAACTTTGGACTTGTGAACTTGCATAATTAACTGATTAACCGTGCGTGAAAATAGTTTTTCATTTCCTCGAGATAAAACGGAGAAAACAGTTCTGTAATAGTCAGACAAACTTGAAATAAATCGTTTTCAACTCCACTTTCTGTATGTGTTTTGTTTATGTATATCTGAGTTTTAGCGCTAAATAAGATATAGGAAGCCGTTTCTCGCGTTGCTAGGTGATCACTTCTCTTATTCCTATTTTTCTTTTCATAGACGGTCCGAAAACCGAGCTCAAGTTACTTACCGGGCAAGTCTAGGCAAGCCTATTGTTCCTATTGTAGTAGAGTGACGCTCATTAGTAAACCTATCCACTTCATTATATATGGAGAAAGACACTTAATTAGTATGCAGGAAATCCAAATTAGTATGCGGGAAATCCAAGGGAAATCCAAAATGGGGTTAATTTCCGACATAGTCCACTAGTGATCTTCTTTACATTTACTTTGTCCTGCAGTTTTAGTACAGTCAAACTTTCCATAAGCAACCACCCAAATGTAAACAGTTAGTGGTTGCTTATGGGAGGTGATCACTTATTGAAGTCAACCTACAGGAGTTCCTTTGCCATACTTTACGAGGAGAAGTCCAGACATAGCTACTTTCTGAAGAGAATGTATTGCATGCAATTTTCAGGTTACAATAAATCCATGTTGTTTCTAAAAGATCTTCTCATACTCTGCATACTCGGATGTCTAGAAATCTCAGAACTAGAAAACTAGACCCTAAAACTCAGGCCCCCTCAAATCCAGAAAACTCGGCCCTAGAAAACTCAGGCCCCACTCAGTTTTAAAGAATGCGAAGTCACTTTTTGATTGACGTTTTTGCTGCCGTCTTTAATTTGTGAGTTTTCTTATTATTGTAAGATACAAAGATACAAGATACAAATAACTCTGTAGTACCGTTTAGACCCCCCCATTATGGACGTACACTCTAAGGTAACAATCACTCTGTCACTCCGAGCGCGCGCGCACCCGCCGACACCCGAAACCATGAAAACTTAGACCTACACTAATAAAACAAAATGTAATGGCAGACCCACTTTTCCCCCAAAACACACCTTGTTGCCAACCTTGATAGAAAGATCAGAATCGCCCTACTTTATAACTCCACGATGAAAGGTTACCTGGGTTAATTTTTCCTGGGTATGTGCCCCTGGCCTCTCAGAGCCCCTACCCCATTATAGTCTATTCTGTGGCCAATCATAGATCCCATCTTAGTCACTTTTGGGCAAATATGTAATTTTTGCAATCCCAACTTAGTCACTTTTAATTTTTTAGATTGAATGAAGAACACTTTACTTTTCATCTACAGTACAAACATTCTGGTATGTTTGCTAACCGTAAATATGAAGAACTGTCTTACCCCAAAAAATCCGAAAATGTGCAACCTCATTCTGGTAACTGTATGGAAAATCTGACCCCATTATAGTCTCTCCAGTCGTGAAAATGCGACCCCATCCAGCAGCACATCCCCATTAGCCTCTTATAAGGAAGTACCCCACCCCGGGTACAACTCTATATGATTCTCATATATTCATTGTTTCATTAAGGTTGGGTGATAATATGAACAGCAGCAGTATAAGAGACTTATCTTATACTGACCAGAACTGAGTGAAGTCTCAATGCCATACTTCATTCTTTTAACATAACTTTCCATACACTTTTGATTTGCCATAGCAACAGGAAGGTTAGACTCCAGGTGGGGAAGAAAGAATGTTGCTGCACCCTTGTCAAAAAAAGCATTCCCTATGGCATCATCCTTAATGGCCCAAAGAACTTGGCAGCCATACAATTCATAACTGCAGTAAGAAAAAAAAACATACAGCAAAGTTTTACTGTAGCACAAACAATAATAAGAAACAAGGCTTTCATCCTCTATAATTTGTTCTCACCGTAATATTTTAGTAGCCATTTTTTGTTAAGAAGAAATAATAACAACATTAGAAACATGAAGACATATTAGGAACCAAAAACAAAAATAATCATCTAAAAACCAAATAAGCGCCAAAAAAAACTCACACAAGTTCCAATGCTATTCCACCATTGCCAACAATTACAACTCTGCGTGCTTTTGAAAGCTTGTCTTTTAACTGTTGAACACTTTCAGTGTCTCTGATACCGACAACAAAAGGACTTTTGGAAATAATGTTTGGTCTTCCTCCTGTGCAAATACATAGCTTCTTGTAAACAAACTTCTCATCTTTGTCGGTCAAAATCCAGTGCTCTGAAATATACAAAAATCCACCTGTCAATTTATCCCCTGGGGGTGGGAGGGGGATCCAAAGACCCGGGTGGTGAATTTTAGGAAACTTACAACAGAATGTTGCCCCTTGGGTCGGGAACTGGAACAAAATTGAAATGGAAAAAATTTCTTGATAGCCATTTTGACAACCTCTTAGTATCAAGAAAATTCAACCAATACACCAGTCATCTTTAAAGGACAATTACATACATGTAGAGCATGAACATAAGTTGCTTACCATATTAACTACCAAGACTTCCTGGACATTAAAAAATTACAACAAGGATGAATGAAAGGAGACACTATAGTCACCTTACGATACATTTTTGTCAAGATATTTTGGGTGTTCTTTATCAAAATTTCAATAAAATAAATTTTGAATACAAAACAAACTTTGATTTAAATTCCGGCCCTCGCATTATTTTTTTTGTATTCACCTAGGGTCAATGCTTGCTTGTCTTAGTTAATGATTTGGTAACAAAAAGGCATGCCTGCATGGGGGCACTCACTCTTGATCTCAATATACAGTCAACTCTTGCCTTGTGGACACCCCGCTATAACAGACATCCCTATAATACGGACAGCAGCTAAATATTAGGACAAAATAAATTACAGACATTTGATGGAAATAAACTCTTGTTATTATGGACTCTTGCTAATGAGGATACTAACTCGAAGTCCCTGGAGTGTCCATAAAGAGAGTTGACTGTAATTAAAAAGAAAAGAGGAAATTGAGAAAAATACCACTAAAAATAATATCTACGAGTTTTTCTAGTCGTTGACAAACAAGCCAGTCTGCCCTTTTTCCCTGTAATCTCCCCCATGTTTAGCTATGTTTGAATTCTGAGTAAGAAATCATATGCATGTGATAAGCCTGGCTTGGCAAATGCGTGATCCCCCAGGTCACAAAAGAGTTGTTTATTAATGCCTAAATCCTGGGACTGACAACATGTGCTTCAAAAATATGCTGCAATTACCCAGGGGGGGGGGAGGAGGATTGATGCAGCTGGAATTGACTGATGCATTATTTTTCCCCTCAGAATTTGATTGGTGTTGTTTTGTAATATATTAAAATCGATGACCTCCCGAGCTCTATCCACTGAAACTCTGGCGAATCTTGCTCCTGGAGAGAAAGGGTTTTTCTCTGACATGCATCTCATTTTCAGTGACTTTTTCCTTCACTACATAAGATAATATTTTCTCCCTTATGTTAACCACCATTGAGTCGAACTGTTTAGGAATAATACGTAAAAATTGGAAAACATCTCATTTAATCTCTAGATAGCATTTTTTGGGTTGTATCCAATAATTTGTACCCCACAAATGAGGGCCATTCCTTTAATGTCCACCCCCCTTTAGGAAAAATATTTCTGGGGTTCTCCCCCTCTCAGAAATTAGCATTTATTCTTAGATACACTCACAAATAGTATTATTTTTGTTCTGTAACCTTCGGAAAATATGGCGATGTTATTTGTCCCCTTCAGAAAAGAAGATTACAGTACTCTTCATAAGAAAAACAGTATTCACCATGCCTATATTGTTGATGTACCTCTGACCCCTTTATCATTTCAGAAATTTATTCTTGGTATTTGCACCCTTCAGAAATTGACATTTTGGACAACAACCTCCTTCAGAAAAACCTCTCTCCTAGTATTGAACCCTTTCTCACAGAAAACCCCTTCAAAAAATCTCATCTATATGGGGAGGGGTGTGGATATAGAATTGAATGGCCCTGAGCCCACAATAGTCTTTTAACTTTGCACACTCAGCTTGGTAGGTACTTAAAGTAGAGTTATTAAAGTGTATCAAGAAATGTATAAATATAGCCATGTATTACCATGTATTGCCATGTATAGCCATTTATAACCATGTATTGCCATACATGGCAATACACGGCTTTATTATTCCACTATTATGTCATTTTACCGTATAAGGTCAAAAGAACAAGCAAAATACGAGGCCGTAATGCACTGTAGTGTCCTGGTTTAACCGGTTTACAACAGGGTGAATACTGGCGGATGCAAAAGGAGCAACTATGGCTGGCAGAATCAGGATGTTTTGGATACTCTTACTAGAAAATAGAAGCCAAAATAACATTTTTTCTTTTGCAGTAAAATCATGAATGAACCTCTCATTCAATAGTTTGGCATATAATAAGCGCGAATATATTGCTAATTGTTAACGTCATTCTTACAGACGGAATCAGGATGTTTCTGAATACTCTTACCTAAAATAGAAGCCAATTGCCAAACAACATTTTTTTTTTTTTGTAGTGGAATAATAAACCCCTTATTCGATGCTTTCGCATATAATACGAGCGGACATTGGGCAATTCCAGAAAATATCCATACCCAACCACGGACGGCTTCCATGTTTTAACCCCCCCTTGCCTTCGGAAATTCCAAAATGCGCTACCCCCCCATGCCCTAAGAATTCCATAGTCGTGAACCCCTCCTCCCCTTCAGAATTTCCGGTTTTTTTTGGAAGTACATTTTCGACTTAGCAACGCCTATAAGAACAAACGAACATGAATTTATGCCTCCTCAAGGCTGTGATCTAGCGGCGCCAGGTGACAAGCTTTACTCTTCAGTGACAAGAAAAACCTACGCTAGTTGCCAGGCCGTGCAAACTCCTTTTTAAGTCCGAATTTGGCTATAAAAATAAACACCACTTAAGGTAATTTTACTCCTCTTTGTTTTCTTGTGCTGTTTTGACGTTTACAAAGGAAAATAGCTCAAACAGACTGTTAAAATCTTTTGGCGGTCAAATATACCATCGAGTCGTGTTGCGTCCTTTTATAGGTCATGTAGTGCGCATTTAAAAGCGTTCTAATCTGACAGGCGTTCCTTGGAAGTGAGGGACTGGTGCGAGTTTTTACTGTTTATCGGACGGTTTCGGACGGGAGTAACAAGAAATTTGCAAGCGGTATTAAAAGATACATTTTCAGTTTTTATTCACGTGACAAGAAATTCATCAAGGTAAATGTGAAACCAACGTTTTACTGTTCACTTCTATAAGTTATGAGCGTAAACACGTGTCTGATCTATCGATGCTTGTCTTCTGCTTCCGCGGTCATACGTTCGTGGTTTATTTACGAACTACAAAAGTCCACAACAATAGCGTTTTCCAGGAACTTACTCTACACTTTCTACTCCAGAAATCCCACCTGTGGAATTCCCCCATACCTTCGGATTTCAAATCGTAAATACCCCCCCATGCCTTCAGAATTCCATAATCGTGAATCCCCCCTCCCCTTCGGAAATCCTTAAAGCCGTCCGTGGTATGGTATGGATATTTTGTGGAATCGCCCATTTTGCTCATTGCTCCTATTTTTCCTCACACGCAACTCGCAAAATATCCGCACATATTATACGCTAAACCATCGAATAAGGTGTATATACATGGCAATGTATAGTAATACAAGGCTATACATTTAATACATTATTTCAAATGCATTCTTGATACACTTTAATAACCCTACTTAAAGTACCTACCCTCAGCTTCGATTGAGCAAAAACACACATAGATTGAACAGTTTCTTGTGGTGCAGTTTCAAATCGTGAGGAAACTTGAAATTTAATTCTTGTGATAAGTACCTTCAGGGTTAAACGCGACGACTTGTGACTGCACAATGACAACATTAGGGCAATAGTTGAACACCGAATTGGCTGATTGTTCTTTCACATCAAACTCCTCTAGTGTTCTACCGTAAGTTTTGAGGTTGTGAGCAGCCTTGACCACATCTCTTGCTGTAATAAAAGTAATAGTTTCTTTCGCGCATATCTGAGACAGCTGTTCCACGCAAGAAACACCTGCAATTCCACCTCCAACAACAACGAAGGTACTATTCATGCTCGATAGCTTCGGCGGAAAGACGCATTGCTCGTCCCCGCTCGTCCCAGTGTTTTGTCGATGAATACCACAGGCTACTCAACGTCTGAGCGCATGGAAGAGAGGGCGAACAAGTGCAACAAGCACTTTTCACTGCTGGATTTAGGTTTTATTTTAAAAAACAAATGGTAAGATGAAAATTTTTACTTCATTTGTGTCGTATTCTCCTTTTATCCTTATCCTTCCTTGCCGTAAGAATCAGTTTAATATTTTTACTACGTAATATATTTAAAAATAACAAGGCAGATGAGTTTGAAAGTGAAAGTTTTTGGAACTCGGAAATGACCTATTGGGGGCTAGCAAAGTGCGAGCTCGCAGACAAATTCTGGGTGAAAGTTGCGTCAAAGGTGTGGTACAATATATACCCTCATACATGAGAACCTTTTCTTTAAACTTTGCAGGTACAGTCGACTCCCGATAACTCGAACCTTCAAGGGAAATCGAAACAAGGTTCGAGTTATCGGGAGTTCGAAGAAAATAGCCGAGAGTAAGGTAAAAAACAGTTTTTACTGCACAGTGAACATTTTAATCACATTTAATTGTAGAAATGTCAAGTGAAAATTAAAAGATACTTAGATTATAAATCAGAACGTAACGTAACAAAGCATAGCCTAAATAGAGCATGCGGTCAGTATAAAACACGGACTGCGGACTGCGGACTGAGTATAAAATACGGACTAGGGTAGGTACTTCATATATGATTATTATTATGTACCTAAACATACCTATTATGTCTTATTAAATCTTATTATTATACTATAAACACCTACAGATATCATCATACACCCCTATACACTCCCATACATCACCATACACCCCTATACATTCCCATACACCCCTATACATCACCATACACCGCTATACATCACCATACACCCCTATACATCACCATACACCCCTATACATCACCACACACCCCTATACATCGCCATATACTCCTATACATCACCATACACCCCTATACATTCCCATACACCCCTATACATTCCCATACCCCGCTATAAATCACCATACATCCCTATACATCACCGTACACCCCTATACATAACCATACAACCCTATACATCACCATACACCCCTATACATCACCATACATCCCTACATATCACCATACACCCCCATACATCACCATACACCCCTATACATCACCATACACCGCTATACATCACCATACACCGCTATACATCACCATACATCCCTATACATCACCATACAACCCTATACATCACCATACATCCCTACATATCACCATACACCCCCATACATCACCATACATCCCTGTACATAACCATACATCCCCATGCATAACCATACAACCCTATACATCACCATACACCCCTATACATCACAATATATTCCTATACATCCCCATACATCCCTATACAACACCACATACCCCTATACATCGCCATACATCCCTATACATCACCATACACCCCTATACATCACCATATATCCCCATACATCACCATACACCGCTATACGTCCCCATACGTCCCTACACATCACCATACATCCCTATACATCACCATACAACCCTATACATCACCATACATCCCTATACATCACCATACAACCCTATACATCACCATACATCTCTACATATCACCATACACTCCCATACATCACCATACATCCCTGTACATAACCATACATCCCCATACATAACCATACAACCCTATACATCACCATACACCCCTATACATCACAATACATTCCTATACATCCCCATACATCCCTATACAACACCACATACCCCTATACATCGCCATACATCCCTATACATCACCATACATCCCTATACATCACCATACACCCCTATACATCACCATATATCCCCATACATCACCATACACCGCTATACATCCCCATACGTCCCTACACATCACCATACATCCCTATACATCACCATACAACCCTATACATCACCATACATCCCTATACATCACCATACACCCCTATACATCACCATACACCCCTATACATCACCATACACCGCTATACATCCCCATACGTCCCTACACATCACCATACATCCCTATACATCACCATACATCCCTATACATCACCATACATCCCCATACATAACCATACAACCCTATACATCACCATACACCCCTATACATCACCATACATCCCTATACATCACCATACACCCCTATACATCACCATACATCCCTATACATCACCATACATCCCTATACATCACCATACATCCCTATACATCACCATACATCCCCATACATAACCATACAACCCTATACATCACCATACACCCCTATACATCACCATGTATTCCTATACATCCCCCTACATCCCTATACATCACCATACATCCCCATACATAACCATACAACCCTATACATCACCATACATCCCTCTACATCACCATACAACCCCATACATAACCATTCAACCCTATACATCACCATATACCCCTATACATCCCCATACATCCCTATGCATCACCATACACCCATATACATCACCATATACCTCTATACATCACCATACACCCCTATACATCATCATACACCCCTATACATCACCATACACCTGTATACAAAACCGTACATCCCTATGCATCACCATACACTCCTTATACATCACCATACACCACATGCTTTATTTTTTCAAATAGGGTCATGTACATTGATTTGCGCGATTGCGCTCACTGCCGGAGGATTCAAGAACAAGTCACATAGCACTGCGAGTAATTATGGAAACCGAAGATTTGATCTATTTCATTACTGGAAAGGTTCCTGGTTCCAACAAGGGTCAATTTTCGTCCAGATTTTAATGAACTAAGAAAATTACTTACCATTGTTCAGCCTCCGTGTTCCTATTATTTTTAGGTTTGGCGCTGATCATAAAGCCAGACACTTCACCATCATCCTCTACAAGATCCTCGCATCTAAGAATAAAATTCGTTAGGGATGTAAAAGTGTCTCCTCGCTCGGGTCAATACTCTCCATCCTTGATGACAACTTTGGATTTATCAAGTTCCGGGGTTTTTCTTTTCTCTGATGATTGTTTCTCTTCCGACATTCTGATCTGTACTCGCCGCCCGGCACTCCTCAAATAAATGATAGTAAAAATTTCATCCTCTTTTTACCGTATGGTTGCATAAGTATCACAAAAGGCTTTCAGACGTTCACGTGGCGGTTGTGCAACCCAAGCAGGGTGTGGCGACCTATGTTCTCTTTTCCTCTCATTGAACAACAAAGAAAATTTTATTATACATGCCAGCGGTAGCAAATCGAAGAACACAGATGTCTATAGGAAGAACTTACTTATATTAATATTCTTTAGAATTTGCTATCTAGTTGATCAGTGGAAAGTAGCTTTGGGACCTGCGTCGAAGTTCATTTTATGCGCAACGCGCGTCTCAGCCGTTTCAGTAAAAATGTAGACATCCCCGGGGTGCAACCACGACTCACACAATCGATATGCGCTTGGAGTTCAGCCGGGAAGTGTAGAGTATTTCCAGGTTACAGGTTTATTTCAGTTCATGGTTTTAATCCCTCAATTAATAGTTTCCTCTGTAGATCTGTAGTTTTTTGCGAATTTTCCCATTTTTTGGACTGTAGAAACCATAGTCAAGCCAGCAATCTTGACAAAGTTGCGAAAAAGGACTGAGTAGTATTCCAATTAACAAAAAAAAAATACTTCAACTGTCTTATTAATTTAGCAACTGCGATCCTTGGTCGAGGGTTGCACCAGGGGTACTTTCAGGTCAGCACATGCAAAGTTGTGTATAGGGTGTATATATGATGCTCTAAAGTACAAATTGTGGTTAGAAATTTATAGTGGTAATAGGATCGAGGCGCAACGAATGAGAGCCACGGTTGACCTAAGCTATTGTGGTAAAATTAGTATATAAAGGAGAGATATCTTGAGAGTCTCGAAAATAACATTAATCTCCTATTAAGCCTCCCTCCCTCTTTTAATTTTAGGGGAAGAAAATTAGCCAGCCTCACCCTCTCTCTTTTAGGCCTCCCCCCCCTCATTCATTTGGAGCCGTGATGCTGATATCATGAGCGGAACTTTGGTTAGATAAAAAGTCATTATTTTAAATTCAAATTATTTGATCATTAATCATAGTGAGAGGGGAGGTAGGTCAATCTAAATCTCCTCCCTACATTTTGGTGCAATTCCTCCCCTTCCCTAAACTTGGTTGGCGGCGGGCAACGCACGACTCCTGTACTTAGCAGTAGAACAAGTTATCTTGTCTAAGACTTGACATTAATAATGCGCGCAGGGCGGGGACGTGAAAATCCCCAGTAAAAATTGACGCCCAGTGAAGGAATTTTCAGTTTTGGTCAGTTTTTGGTCAGGTTTTTGGTTATATGGCCTCAACAGAAATGATAGGCACAATAAGGCAAAGGCTTGAGGATATAGAACTGCAAGGGCACAATGGATGAGTGAAATGAATCTTAAATCTTTATTTTAAAACGGTAAACATTCATAACGTTGGTACAATATGAAACAAAACAACATAATTTCTAACTGACAATATATACGTATCTAAAAAGCTTCTTCTATATATAAACGCTATCGCCAATTGGAGCTTTTTGAGTCCTTTTTTTTTCGGGCTTACAAATTTTTGGTTTGATCACTCTACCGCTTGTAATAAACTATGCGTTATTGGGGTGAGCTAAAACGCTTAGGAGGTCAAAGTGTTGGTGAGGTCAGCGCAGGCCTACAACTATAGTCAAAAAGCTGGCCGCGTCCCTGCCAAAGGAACTATTATAAAAACTAAGAGTTTGACTAATAGTCGCGGGTCGCGTGTCGCGGGTCCAAAGTCGCGGTCGCGGGTCCGAAGTCGCGGTCGCGGGTTCAATGTCGCGGTCGCGAGTCCAAAGTCGCGGTCGCGGGTCCAATGTCGCGGCAGGGGAAAATGATTTGGGGTTCAAGGTAACTGAATGAAAATGACTGATATGAACACAATATAAAGGGAAAAAATCTTTTTTATGCACGATACTCTACGGTAGCCAATTTACAGGTTACGGATGTTAGAGTCAACAA